ATTTATCACTCCCCATTCATTATGGCAAGTTATTAAATACGTATTGATGTTTGCCATTGTGTTTTCCAGCATCTCCTTGTTTGTCAGCGCAATTTCGATTGGGGGACAGCAATTAAGGACTCCTTTGTCTGCGATTAGGTAATGACATGAGCTGGCCCCTACCGCACAATCGGCTATATCCTTGTTGTCGGGGTCTCAGCTGTCAAAAGCAGCAGGTGGGGGGATGACAGGAGTGCGGGTGATAATGTCCTGCAGAACGGGAAGGGGCAAATGGAATGCCAAGGCACCCAGCATATCAATGGCGTGGAGGCTGGAAAACCAACTTGCAACCTACTTGGGTCAGAAACGCACTCGAGTGTGTGTGTGTGTGTGTGTTGGCTAAATGCCAACGCACAAAACTTGCCATAAATCTACAGGCAGCGTATAATTAATAAGGATTAATTGTACACCAGAACTTGTGCAGCGACAAGGCCAGACAGAGCCAAGACAAAGGGAGCATTGGCTGTGGATTGGGCCATGGAGATGGAGATTGCATGGCCGTAGTCAAAATTTAATTAATTAATAGCACAATTTTAGGTGGCCTGCATATGCACGTGTGTGTTTCTCAGAAAGTGGGCAGCAAATCGATAAGCAAGGCTTGAATTCGCAAAATTACCTCCGGTATGCGTTGGACAGAAATATTCTCGTAAAATATTTGCCTTAATTAACAGATTCAGATCATGGGTCTTTATTAGAAAGCCAATTACCAAAACACTCACAATGCATCCAACCAAACTAAATGAAATGTTTGTTCATTTATTTCATTTCTTAAGTCAATTTTGAGTCAGTATGGCTTACAAATTTATCAGCCCATTTTAGCATTATACGAGTCTAATTAGTTATACCGATTATATTTTGTAAAAATCCCTTTATTTTTGTATATATTAACCATCTTATTATATTAATTGCATTCAACGCCATTTTATTTCCGCCATCGGCCCAATGAATCAATAACACAAATATTCATGCATTGTTGCCAAAATCCGCCCATTTGCATTAAGCAATTTCAAAGGGCCAAAACTAGTAATTAAGCCGCATTTGGCAGCAACAGAAGATTGTCCACTTAATACGAAAGGAAGCTACAACTTTTTTATTAGCCCTGTAATTCCTTCGTTTTTTCGCCTCGGCATTTCAATTCCCCGAACTTTTTATCAGACCTTTTACAGTTTTTCTACTTAACTTTACGTTCACTTGCCCCTCGGTTTTTCCACCGCTTGGCAGGTGAGTGCAAAAAGGACGACGGAAGGGAAATGAAAGACGGCAATTAATGTTAAGCTCTTGGCACGGCCCAAAGGATAGTTGAGCATTTGGCGGGGCAAAAAAAAAAAAAAAACAAAAAATCCAAAAATAAAATAAGAATACAAGTGCAGCGAGGGAGGGTTTGGTTTTAATTAGAAAAAGTGTTTTATACACCAATAACATTATGGTAATCTTTTCTGGATTGAACGCGGAAGACTTGGCGTCATCGCAAAATGGAAAATGGATGTTTAAGTTTGGATTTGAACGCGAAAATCAATACTTTGCTTTTAAAGTAATTTGTGGCACAATATCTATTATAAATGCAGACAAATCGGCACCTTTTAATTCGATTCAAAGTATGAAACTCCCACCACTGGGCACCCAAAAAAAAAATAAGTTCTGAGCACAAAAACATTAAGCGAAATTGAATAATAATTATACCGCTTATTGCTGTTTAATAATATGTTGATTTATTTATATCTGCGTACTAATATTCGGTTCAATTTATAGCTGATTTTTTCTGAACATGTTTTTTTATCCTTCCACGCATTTTGGTTTATCAATTTCAACCGTTGCATATCATTATACGTATTGATTTATTCTTTCAAGCATACAGTTGGCCGACAATTTAAGAATATTTCGGCATAACTACTTTTTATGTTTTTTTTTTGGCGGTAGAAAGTTGGAGCCAATGGCCATTTGGTATTTATCTCTGTTTACCATACTTTATGCTTGACTGATTTCCGCATTAAGTGAGAATATAACCTACGAAGAAATATTTTTATTATAACAACAGACAAACAACAATAAAACTAGAGATACGAACGGAATTTGGGTGTTTTTATTTTTCACGCATTTTGCCATTGGATCCACAAAACTGTATTCGAGGCACCATTCTTTGGTGTTTGCCATACTTTTAGTGGGTAAACAAGATTTTTGATGCGGCAATATTTCGCCACCACCTTCCTCTCATTGCGCGGAAATTTGTTTTTGACGCATTGCTGATAACGACGACGATGATGATGTCACAATTTTATTCCGCTCGTTCACATCCCGTCCAAAAATCAAAACAAAAAGCGTTTAAATTCAACGATCTATCCGCATTTCATGTAATTTGCATAATATTTTAATTTTGCATACTTATTGGCGCATAATTAGGTGGTTATGGCCGTGGGTAGAGGCCTTGTTGTTTGACTTTCAGCTCAATATTTATCAAAATAAAAGAATATTTTCACTGATGCGACGAGATGTCTGGTTAAACCCCAATCACTATGTTTCCATATCCACTAATTTCACATCACTGGGCAAAACAGCGAACAACTTTGCTGTAAGTTGTCTAATTGTCAATGATTTGTTTATGTAAAAATTACACCAAATTCAAGGCACTGTTCGGATACTATCACCAAATCCTCTGGCAGAGTTCCCCACCTGTCCTTATTTATTTGCTCTTTATTTACCCCTTGACCACATCGGCAAAAAATAACCACAAATGTACATTCGCGTATTTTAATGGACTTCGTGTTGCACTCCACATGGCCCCACATCCTGAGGCAACTCGCAAATCGAACGAATGTTCGAACTTTTTGGGTGCCACATGATGTTTGTCTAAGATCCACAGTGGTGTCCTTATCTTCAGGGGCGTAATAAAAAATGTTTTCAGCGGGGCTAAGAAATATCCCAAGTATTCCTGCTTGATTGAGATCTATTGACTGTCTGGTTAAAAGCATGTTTAAGCCGCACTGTTTGCTTGTGATTTCTGTGGAACGCTGGCCTCCGCATTTTTCGCAATACGCCCCTGTCTATATGTGGGATTTTGGCTTGGTCACAACCAGCCATCGAATTGGGTACTTCTTCTTCGCAGTTCCGCAACCCGGCACAGTTTTTTCCCCACTCGCTCCAGGACCCAACACAAACACTCGAGAGCTGCTGAGCGTTGCCGGATATTGGCTTCATACACCGCCAGCCAATTTTAAATTGCCAATATTGATTTATACGCCGCATGCGTTGCTGCCACATGGGGTACGAAAGCCAAGTTAGTGGGAGTTCGGAATCGCCGACCCTCTGAAGCATTGTTAAGTTGCAATTTTGCAGGTGGCGGTCGGGGATTCATTGCCAAAGATGGACGTGGGCCCGGAGTAAATGGGCATGGGATTTCACGTAGTTAACGCTGCCTGAATTTATTGGCCTGGCTTTAAAAGCTGCACTCGCATGCAATGCAAATGTGTTTAAATGTACACAGAGAACAGAATTTAATGCACCACCTGAGATATTTAGCAATGCCTCTCAGGGATAAAAAATTTTCATATTTGTTAATACAACATTACTCGTACAGCTACCTAACAGATTTTCCAGTGTTTCTTCCTGTGCACAATCCTCGTACATATATGTTGCGATCATACTTAAATGTATATATTACTTGGACTAACTGCAATTGGATATCCCATCAAAGCGAAAAAATGGTTCGCCTACCGTTGAGCTCGCTTCCCCTTTTAATTTCACATCCCCATCTCTGGGCTCGGCTTGTGATTTCCCAAATCCCATTTAAGAATTCCCTTTGTGGGAGCCTGGGACACCCAGAACTCAGCCAGCCCACAACAGTTGAACCCACTCCTTTGCATAATTCATGCAAAAAATTCAACACAACTCGGATTCCGACTCCCAGTATGTTGGTTGTTTATTTGCTGAGAGATGTTTTTGATTCTCCTCCCGTTGTCCCCTCCATAGGGGCAATCGACATATGCTTTAAGTGCTCAAATGCCGTCAGAAGGATGAAGATGTGTCAACTGAATCCTGCCCGTTGGCGAACCAGCTGACATGTGGCTTGAAAAGGGTAAGATGTTTGTTAGCGTATTCATAAGGGGCGCTTTGATTTTAGCTACAAGTGTAATACATTTTATAATAAATATTACAAGCGGCCAACTTTCTGTTTATATTCCGTTAAGAAAACATGAACAAAATACTCATGATATGAAGTACATTATTAAGAAGACAAAAAAGTGATATATTTTTATTTTAACACTTTAGCGAACAATATTTTCAGTTCTAAAAATTCGTCGTTAAATGTGTTTTAATTTTTATTAATTCTGTTCAACTTTCGAGTTTTGTTACTTTTTTTGACACACCTGGGCAATTAAAAGAAATTAATTGCCTGCTTCCATAATGAACGTCATTATAAAACTGTCAACTGCATTCAGCAACTGTATTGTGGCCATCTCTGATACATAATGACATTTTTTACTTGCTTTTACAATAATGACAATAATTGATTTTTTCAATGCAGCATAAGACTCTTTGTTTTTATTGCGTTCAAAGTGCATACTTTGGGGCTCCTTTTATTTACCAAAAAGAAAATTAAATAGCAACCTTAATAAATGTGCGCATTTAAAAATGACCACTGACAAAGGGGAATAAAAACTTAAACAAGATTCATCCAGACAAAAAAGATATCACACGAACCATATACAATTAACGCCAAAGAGCAAAATCAGAAAATAAACCTCAAACGAGAACTAGTAAAAAGTTAATTGTTTTATAAGTGCATATATAATATAAAATATAATATTTATCGGGCTTGCAAGTGATTGGATGTTAATACTTTTGCTTTGGAATGCCCGTTTTAATGCAAAGCGCTAAATTTGATTTATAAATATTTGTGTTGCCGACGACCATAAACCAGCCAGAGAGCCGAAAATGGGGGTCAGAAAAATAACAAAACGGAAAATGGTAATATATTTTCCATTTAATTTAATTTGCATGGTTTTAGGCGGAATACGCTTCCGCCTGAGCTTTGGCTCCCACGGTATTGCCCAAATTTCATTAGGCGTAAAACGAACTTTTTGCTCACACAATTTTCAGATTTTCAACCGACTATAATACTTTACTTATATTTCTTCCACAAACTTCGACCTAAAACTCTTTGCAGCGACCTTAAAGACGCGACTCCTTGAAGTGATTTGGTAAGTAGAAGCAGCCCATTGCATTGCCATGGAAATTGCTGCAATATCACGAGGTCTGCCATTGTCTTTACCGCTGCGGAAAGGAGCATCGATACTGTCCTTTATTCCTGCCCAGTCCTTTTCGCGGCCCGCCTTTATTGTTATTTCGCCTGCATCATTATTTCAGTTGGCGCCTTGGCTGTAAGTGGATCCGCAGTTCCCAGGGGCTGCTCCTTCCTGCTCCTTCCTGGTCCTTTGGCATTGTGCGGAGATGCTTTTGCTGTTGTTGCAGATAAAGATAAATAGTCTCAGATAACGCTCAGTTATTTGCAAACAAATACAATTGCGGTTCATTGATGGCGGTTTCATTTCGCCAGCTCCCAAAGATGGAGACTTGCCACTGGGCAAATGGGAGTGCATCTGCCCTGGCCCATTAGTTTGTGGTGCTCGAGTGGGCCACCATTGTTTCCGGCTAGTCTGGGTAGTCAAGGCTATTCAGATTCTGGCTGGGATCCTGAACCACGAATTTGTCGAACGTGTAACTGATGAACTCTGCATACCATTTCGCAGCAATTCCAAGCCATTTCTGTGGAGAGACCGAAGCAATATTACTATCGAATCGCAGATTAAGAATATTTAGGTTTTGAAATTTAAGATATAACCTTTAACTACGAACAACTTAAAAAGTATGCATAAATAAACTTACTTGTTATTCCCTATGCTATTTCTTATTGTGATTAATTTAAATAAATAGTACTTAAGATATAACAACAAGGGAACCCTTAGGCGAATAACTATTGAAGTACTCATTAAAACAAGGTGGTCTTGTCTCACCGCAATGCTAAACGAACTCTCCGTCGAGATTCCACAGAAACCATTGGTCACGCCCACAACGAAAGCCACCAGAGGTTCGTACTCGTCCTCGTTGATGATGTACTTCAATACATTGAAGGCAGTGGACCAGGTGAGCAGCTCCTGATTCCAGAGGAATAGAATATCGCTGACGATCTGGGCACGGTTTAGGACATTTATGCTACGAAAGTCATCGAACAGTGTGGTGGCCAAAAGCTGCCAGGTGTGCTCGTCATAGTTGACTCTGTAGTAGCCAACAGCACGCAGATTAAGAAGGATCCACTGGTTAGGCGGAACTATAGCATTTAGTTTTATGCTATGGCTGTCGGCACTAAGCCACGCCCTCGGCTCGAGGTTTTTGGAAAAAGATCCGCCCTCTATGAGGTAGGTCAGCGGAATCCACCAAAGCTGGGAGCTGCTGCGGTTGAGGGCGTGTCTCTGCGTCAGAAATACTTCACTCCCGTTCCGGATTACAGTGACTAACGGATAGCCGTCCTGCATAGTCCACGTGTCCATGATGCTTTTGACATCCCAGTTTTTGGCCAAAGCGGCCTCCCTTTCGCTGGCCAGTTGTAGGGATCTCCAGAAGAGCTCGGGCGTGCTGCTGCCAAAGGAGTTCTGCCACATGTGCCGCCGAAGTCCATCGTAAAAAGTCTCATTGCCCAAGAAGCCAATCAGCATATAAATCAGAGAGGTGGCCTTCTGGTACAGTTGCTTCTCTTCATTAGGAGTGGCTACTGATGAAGGAGGCACCAAGGATATGCCGCCCACCTGCGATTCGTACATGATGGAGGATTCGCGATACCTGAGCAGTATCCGGCGACCCATTCCCGATTGCAAGTGATCCATGGCCAGGCTTTTAAAGTATCCGGCTAGTCCCTCCGTTAACCAGATGTCTGAGTTCAAGTCCATTCCCAGCAGATTGCCAAACCACACATGTGCCATTTCATAGGAGATTAGCTCGAGTGCCTCCACTTTTTCCTTGTTCATTGGCCCATCTTCACGGAGCAACAGCTGTGTGCTACTGTAGACGACGAGACCGAAATTTTCCGTGGCTGCTGCAGGAAAATCATCCACCACCAGTTGATCGATCTTCTCCAGTGGTAGTGCCACCTGAAGCAAACTGTCCAGGAACTCCAGAATCTGAGGAGCCATTTGGGCGGCAAAGGAGGTCTCACGCACATCAGCCGACTGGGCACAGGTACGAAATCGAACTGGATTCGTACTGGCTGCTTGGCTATACCGGCAGTTGAAGTTGTTTACGGAAAGGGCCAGCAAATGTGTGGGAATCAAGGGCGTAACCTCATGCACGGACCATACATAGTCCTGTATCTCGCGGCTAGAAAAAGGTAACAATGGCGTTTAGGGATTACGGGCAAGCCATCCACACGGATCAAACTCACTTGGGCTGCACAGCTTGGATATGCATATTGCTGTAGCTCTGGAAGCGCTTGTGATGACCCATGGTCACATTAAAAGTGGCCTTCAGGGAGGGCTCATCGAAGCTGGGCATGGTGTTCCTTATCCAGTTTCGATTGAAGTGGGACACGGAGTACCAGCTGAAGGGCGTGGGTGTTACCTTTGTTGAACTCGAGGAGGAAAGGAAGCTTACATTTTCTCCGAGGTCTTCGAGTGTACATAGTGGCGTATAAAATAACCATCCCTCTCATCCGTGGACATTGACCTGCCGAATTCGATGCTGAGGACATAGGATTTGCCCATCAACAAGGATTGGTTGAAGGCAACAACCATATATTCCCGATCCTTGATGAACCTGACATATATCAGACGATAGTTGGACGTCCCACCAAATAGCCTGATTTTCTTGGCCTCGATTAACACTCTGCCCACATGAAGCACCACTTGATTGGTGGTCTTTTGTGCATGAATGGAAATCCTAACGAAACCATTGTAGCTGGGATGGGCTGAGCTCTCCAGGTGAGTTAACAATCTAATGTCATAGTGGAATGGCTTTACATTTGCCGGCAATCGGGGCTCATCGTACAGCTGAGTTTTAGAAGAACATGCAACTTGACACAGACAAAGTAGGAGTATCAATCGGTACAGTGCAACATTTTCATAGCATTCAAACATGCTGAACAAAAACTGCTCGATTGTAGATCTTTTAAACTGGTCGCCAAATAGTTTTAAAATTTTAAATTTCTTTTCAAGGGAAAATTTACGACGATCTGACTTACTGAGTCCAGTTTACTTACTTTTGGTGCTTTTGGAATTTGTTTTGTAATTAATACCACCTTAGTGCTATTATATTATTCAAAGTCACGTGTGTCAAATCAACATTAAGAATATTACATTTACCGTGGGCTGGGGTTGCTTAAATGCCTTTTTAACTTGGGAGCCAGAACACAAGATCCTTCGGATGGGCACGGGGTGCTCTGAGTAAAAGTAACATTCCCAGCTCGACTTAGCAGCGTCTTGACTTACTTTCCTCCAGCTTTCACTTGCGGGCTGGCAGAAGTTTGCAACTTTTTGCGCTACGTGCGTTTCTCGACTTGCACATGTATCTGTTTGCAAACACGTGAGTGTTAGTGTGTGCCAGTGTGGCACAGCGCCAAAAAGGATGTTAAGCGCTTTGGTTCCAGTTTGCAGGCCCACTCTCGGGCCCAGCAGGACCAGGACCAGGACCAAAACCAGGACCCTCGAACGCACAGCGCATACGCATACATATGCGGATCTGGTTTGCGATTTATACGTGCATGTAATATGTGTAATTTATGACTGACGGGATGTGAGCGCTTAAATTATGTGCAAAATGCTCGCAAAAGCCTCGGTGGCTTTTGGGGGCTGGCAAACTTTTGCTCAAAAGTTTGCCACCAGCCCCGCCTTGCATATCAAAATATTGGTAGTCACGTGTGGATTAGTTATTGGGATTGAGTTGAATACGGCGGATTATTTTCGCAAAATTTGCAAATCGATTTGGCCATTCAAAATTAAGTTTGCTATGATGAATTATTTCAAGTTTTCTCAACATTTTATAAAAAACATTTTTCAACTCTTGCATGGAAGTTAATTTATATAAATAAGGCTTGAATCCTGCGTATACTGAACAAAAGGGAACACTGCAGTAGTATTATTTCAAAGTTCGTTAGATGTGATTGGTTGTCCTTAAGAAAATGGTTCCCATGAGAATGAGTTTCCTCTGTCGTAGAGAAGTGTCCATTTGAAGGACTCGTTGAAATGACAAAGCTCAAACGGATTATGCTTTTTGCCCCTTCAAAGACCCTCAGCCCCTGCCCAGCGCATTTGCTCATCCCGATTCGGATCCTAAATGAATTTTCATTTCCAATTACTTTACAATTTTGCTTTTGTGTGCCTGATAACTCGGATCCCTCTCCCACAAACTGGCTCCCCTTTGTTCTTCGTCCTGCCCCTGTTGGCATTACAATTCGATTTCCTAATTTTCAATTTTACACGTTTGGCAAACACTCGAGTCGAACAGCCCAGATCGAAAACAGGACAAGACCCGAGAGCCCATACCTAGTGCGGATCCGAATCCGGATCCGCATCCACATCCGCAGCCCCATCCAATCGCTGCGCCATCCGTATGCAATGCCAGCCCAGAGACTTTTGAGAAATTTTAATTAAAATTGAATTTTCTTGCATTTAATTAAAAGCTTAGCTGGCGCGCATGAAAAATGAGAGAAGCCAAAGAAAAACTATGCTCGATGTGGATGTGCTGCGGGCGAGGGTGCGGATGAGTATGCGGATGGGTATGCGGATGTGGCAGGGCACTCGAGCAGAAGTGCATGCACTGGCTGCACTAGAGATATGAGAATCATCATCGTCAGCTGGCTAAGGCGCATCCTTGAAATCCTCTATATCCTTTCATGGATACCATCGTGAAAGGAAACGGAGCTGTGTACGTGTGTTTATCCGGTCCAATACGGGATCCTGGCTTCCCGGAACCGGTGCTAAACGGAACACTGACAGCTCCTGTCAAAATAAGCAACTAATCTCCCTGTTGCAATATTGTTTGACAAGCGAGCACACAAACAATTGGGCGAGCTTCCATTCACCAAGCCCCCATTCCCAGCAAGTGCCATTGGTTTTGGACTGGAGAAAATTTCAATGAAATTTTTGCCTCGGTTTCAGGAACAATCACCATCCCATTTGGATTTTGGACTGCGGCTGGCTAATTAAGTTTTCCAGCTCCACGCCCCCGAAATCCATTGCAAATTGGCCCCTAAAATTTGCCTAGGCCACAAAATTTTCCACCATTTCCGGCCGCTAGAATGCATCACAGTTGCGGACCGGAAGACGCATCAGTTATACCGCAGAAGGCGGCCATGCGGAATGATTCGTTCAATGATTTTGGTTCGGCTTAGCGATCATTTTTAATTGACCGCAATGACCCAGTAGCGGATCGAAAATGTCTGCTTTTCATACCCTTGCAGATGATATTTTGATTTCTGGCAGAAGTTTGCAACGTAAGGTAAAGTATATATGTTTTTGATCAGATCCCTATCAGTCAGTCATCTACTACAAGTAATATAGCTGCCATTTGAATAACTATTTTATGTATTTGTCATATGAACAGTGGGGAAAATTAATTCAATTTAATAGAAGTGAAATCACATTTTCGTTTTTTTCGATAACAGTGATCATATTTTGTATACAACAAGGGTATATAAGCCCATGAGGAAACTGGAGTTAGTGCGTACTGCAATTCTTTATAAATGGGACTAGATATTTTAAGTCGGAGGATTGCTTTCATGAAAAAGACGGTGAAATTCGCTTTAAAAATTGATTCTCCTGAATCATGCATATTGCAGTGTAACTTTTAATAAATTTTATTTGTGCTACTGCATTCTTGTCCATCGTTCTTGACCAAGAGGACACCCGACGCCCCATTCATAAGGAGGTAACCAATCAATGCATAGTTGGTATTCCTTGCCTTGCATCGCAGAATGCCATGAACAATTTCTGCTGGCGCTGGCGCCCAACTGACCAACCAAGCGATCAATGGCTGCCCATCCTGCTGCCGGAACGAAGCGGCCAAAGCCACACAATTGTTTCAAAATTTTTCATAAATTCCCCCGCAAAATGTTGTCCGTTAAAAAAGCGACCCACCAACCCCGCACCAGAGGCAGCTGTATGTAAGTAGTAGGTAAATTTTGCGAGTCTCGGCTTTCGAGCGCCACCCAGCCGAGACACCTCGAGATCCGGTGGCTAGGAGGCGAAAACCGAGAGCCTGGGACCAAGCATAAATAGTTTAATATAAAACGCAGACAACGGCCTGGAAGGGGAGCGGAGACAAAGTACTTGCCTCATCTCGTGCCCGCATAGTTTGTTCAGCTCAACCTCATCCTGCGCCCCGAGTTCGTGCAGCGTTTTCTTTTGTCTTGCGGCAAGAGGGAAAATATTTAATGCACCCACAATATTTCGCTTGGCTGGCAAGTGATAATGCACCCGCCTCGGGCATCGGCTGCCTTGGCCTTTGGCAGAAGCACTGGGCACAAAGGACCCTCCAACCATCCCACCATCCCACCATCCATCCAGCCAAACAGCCAACCATCCAACCATCCAACCAGCCATTCAAAGTGGGCGTGCCGCTAGTCGTCAAAGCAAGGCTCCCCTGCCGATTCGCTTTTTATATGCATATTCAACAGTGTGGAAGTAATAAAGCCAACTTGCCGACAGTTATAGTAGCTGGTACAGTTGTCTGGAGACAGTCGGTGTGCCGGTGTCAGGAATCAGGAAGCAGGAAGCAGGAAGCACTCGTTGCCGGCCCAGACATTCATGGTCCAGGATGCTGGCTAGGACGGGATCCGGCGCGATTGGCAGCCCGAAACCTTTGACACTCCTTCTGCGCGGTTTCTCAATGCACACAATTTATGCCATGATAACAAATTGGTACTTACTTAAGATCTGATCACGTGGGAGCACTAAAATGTATAAATGATAAATGGCACCGCAAATTCTTAGCTTCATATGTAAATCCAATATTACTTGATATTTTAAAAATTACCATAGTTCATAGAACAGTGTATGATGTGGCAAAAATGGGAGACAAACCATTTCTACACAAAGAAATGTGCTTAAAGTATAAGCAAAGTACATGTTTTCGTCTTTCAGAAGCGAGCTGTAGGCCTTTTCCTTTGAATTTCCCCCACATGTCCCAATTTGTCACTTGACTTGCTGCACAGCGCTCTGCTGACATAATTAAATTTCCCTTTGCTCCGATGGCGGCCTTAGAAGAGGAGCGTTTAGCTAATTTGGCATTCAACACACGCTTTAATCGAACCCGCCGAGTCCATAGTCCTGCCAGCCAGGCAGCGAAATTGAAAGTGACATTTATGACACAGACATTGCCGACACGACATCATCATTTCCATCAGCAGCGGCATTCCTCTGACGAAGCGAGGCGCTGCATTTTACCCTGTGGCACTGATTTGAATTCTGTCAACAATTTCACATCGACGACATCTGCGGAGGTGCAAAGAGGTAGCTGATTGGCCGTCTCATTGCGACATCAGACAGTAGGCAAATTTAATTGTTGTCAATCCGACATTGCCAAATTGGAGCTGCCGACTGCGGGCTGTCTCCGTTAATTTTGGCCAGATTTGTCTCTGGGTTAGCTGCCAGTTAATTTTCCCATGTTTCCAAGGATTAATTTTACGGAAAGCTCAACTCTGTGTTACCGGTTTGTTAATTTTCCCATGATTTCCAGGATTCATTTTATGGAAAGCGCATCGCTGTGTTACCGGTTTGTTAATTTTCCCATGATTTCCAGGATTCATTTTATGGAAAGCAAATCGCTGTGTTACCAGTTTGTTAATTTTCCCATGATTTCCAGGATTCATTTTATGGAAAGCTCATCGCTGTGTTATCAGTTTGTTAATTTTCCCATGATCTCAAGGATTCATTTTATGGAAAGCTCATCACTGTGTTACCAGTTTGTGATCGATTTAGGTACAGTGAATCTAGTTAGATATTTTGATCCAGCAGCTTTCTTATCATACTTTGGTTTGAAAATTTGTTATCTTATCAGTTTGGAATTCAAGAAATATTACGATTTTAGTTTAGAGTCTAAAAACAAATCCACTGTTAGCTTTGAACAAAAAATCTATCTTTGTTGCCATTGCTGTGTCTGCATTATCAATCAAGCTTGTCTAACTCTACCCCTACAAAACTTTAAGTTATTTTTCAATGTCATGGGCATAGAAAATTGCCGGCATATCCTGCGGCTCCTGATATTCCCAGACTGTTTCAATATACCTCTGTATGCACTCCTAATTTGCGGTTGCATATTTTTTTCCTGCGCTTTTCAACTTTTTTGTGTGATTTTGGCCATAATTATTTTTCTGGCTTCCTTTGAAATGCACTGGTCGTGAGTTTGCACCATCGTCCGATGTCCCAGGATGCGCCAACATTTTGCTTGTCACGCAAATGTTTCGTGTCAGATTTCTCTCTCGTCCGGATACTTTCCTGCAGAAAATATTCATTTTTAGCCGTATATATATGAAATATATATAGACTGCTACACAGTTTGCCATATTCTTCATATATCCATTATATACTTTCAACATTAGTATGTACGAGCTGTGTTCGTGGAAAACCGCGCTGCACGTCGACGGTCCACTTGCAGAAAGTCTGTCTGCCCACAGCCAACTGACCCATGTAACAACTCATTTCAGCAGGGAAACTTGCCTATGCGGCCACAGTATTTTGAAAGCTGTTGATTCTGGCCCGGAAATGTGTTTTTGTACAAGTTGGTATTTCTATTTAAAAGGTTTAAGTATTTGCATTCATGAGGATTTCATTGTTTGTGATAATTATAGGTGTATGTTGCTCAATAGTCGACCCATGAAATGGAATCGGTCCACTGTGCATTTCTCGCTGCACGTCCTCTTGGTCGCACGCTATATTTTTCAATTTGTAAACATATCCTGCGGTGTCGGCGTTGAAAGCTGTTCTGAAAGGGGCGGCATTAGTTGGCCACGCCCACACTCCGCCACCGCCGGGGGTGAAATGCATTTGCTTCATTTGTTTGGCGTGTATTTCATGTCAACTTAATGTTTATTAGAAAACGTCTACTCGAATCGCGCGGGGCAGCAGAAAGGCAAAGGACGAAGCTCCAGCTGTCAACTGACGCAACCCCTGCCCAGTGGAGCTCATTCATCAGCCAACGGAAGGAAGGACTGGTCCCTGCCGTTCTCTAAACGCCACTTGGGAAAGGTAAACTAGAATCATTCCGAACGGCAGACAAGGTTTTAATCTCCCATCCTCTGCTGTGCTGAGAAGTCATCTAAGTTCAAAAGCCATTTTCCTATTAGCATAGCAATGTGAAAGTACTAAGAACAGTAATTAGAAAAAAATTAACTCAGTCCTGGGAAAAAAATCGATCTATATTCATCGCATTTTTTTGTATATCATCTAAAGATTTTTTTCTTAAGCTTGATTACGTTCTCAGCTCAGATACACCTACTCCAGATTTGTTTTGTTGATAATCTAGTTAGTGAAATTCCAATCCACAGCAGAAATGTTTTGCTTGAGACTTAAAAGGCATAAAAAAAAGGTATTTGAGGCGCATTTGCGTTATCAGTAAAATTATTGATAAGTCGATTCTCAGTTCTTCAGGGAGTAAATTCCTATCATGAGGCTTTCATGTAGGTGCACAACTTTTTTTGAATAAATATAAAATCAAATCACTGAGTAATAACTACAAACGGAAATAAAAATAATTTTTAAAAAAGGAATTACTTTAAATATTTATACTCAGCACTCAGTACATCTATACTCAGTATAGATGTCGACTACAGCCTGTTATCAATCAAGTTAAATATAAATAGAAATATAAATATAAATACACATATGTATGTATGAGCGGACTACGAGTATTAACTAAGTTCACATACTAGTTTAGTACATGCAAATGCGTCTCGCAGCCATGTTCTGCTGAAAATAAGAGTAAAATATCAAAAATAGCGTGAAGTCTAAACGTAGAAACATGTTACTAGTAACAATAAGTTTGTTGGCCATATTTTCGGGAGCTTTGGGAGAAGCAGAAGACAGCGATGAGAGTGAAGATCTAGGCTTCGGTTTACCAGATGAAACAACACTCACATCGACCACATCGATCCCATCGATCACAACTGCCACAATTCCTAAAACAGAAATACAACGGAAATGCGGCCTTTATAACAACAATACCTGTGTTAAGCGATCTGATTGCTCAACCACAATGACCAGTGGTTCAAAACTCACCGTAGATCTGAAGGTACGGTCGAAGAATGGCTGTCATTACCTTGAGGTTTGCTGTCATCCCGATGACATGGTAGGTAGCTTGGAAATGTATTTTAAATAAGTGATCTATATTATGCCCTTCTCTACTTTCAGCTGACTCCAATCAACGCGTGGATTCCTTTAGGGTACGTGCAATGCGGCATTGGCAATGTTGGTGGCATGTTTATGAACCTAAAAGGTGGTCGTCTGGAGACGAACCTCGCCGAATACCCGTATATGGTGGCCATTCTGGACACAAGTCACAGATTTTTATGCAATGCTGTTTTGATTGGCTACAAAGTGGTTCTCACAACAGCCACTTGCTTAGCTCCCGAGCAACCACTTGTCGTAAGGGCTGGGGATTGGGATCTGGCAAGTGATCGCGAGTTCGTGCCACACGTGGACCTCAATGTCGAACATCAAATTGTTCATCAGCTATTCAATTGGGAATCGACAAAACACAACATTGCCCTACTGCTCCTTACAGAGGAGTTTCCTCGGGTCCAGCATATAATACCCATATGCCTGGAACGCAGCGGCGTGGATCTAGATTACGACAGCTGCTTCGTCACCGGCTGGAATTATAGACTGACTAACAAGTTACAGCCGACTCGGAACATTGTCCTAAGGCTCGATGTGGACTTCGAGCAAACCAACTTCCCGAACACCTCCACCTCCACCGATCCAGTTTTGGTTGCCGTTCCCCGACCTGATCAGCCCACGTATGCCAAAGGGGCTCCTCTAGTTTGTCCCACCGAGAGCAGCAGGTACTATGTGGTTGGCGCCTGGAGCACCAGCCTCAATGGATCTATACAGTTCACCGATGTAAGGAAGTTCAAGGAATGGATTTATCGGGAGGTACTTGCGTACAATATTGCACTTTAAATATTGTAGATACTTGTTCCTTTTCAGACATTAATTATTAACACAAAATATAATATATACAAAATTTAATTTCATTAATTTTTGTAGGTATTTTGTTTTCTTAAAATACTAAAGTATGCGAGGAGAGTCCACGTGGTAGAATTCGGTAGCCTTGCGTTCGGTGGCATAGTAATCGTAGAGCTGAACCCAAGAAGGTTTCTGCTCAGCCACTGCATGGGTGTATATGGCCTTCAGGTTCAGGCACTTGGGGGCATTGGGGTGCAGCTTTTCGAAATAGATATGAACCTCGGTGTCACCGCGTTTGGACTCCACACGCTTTACGTCTGGAATGGCCGCGATGAGGGCGAAGGAATCGGTGTCGCAAACATAGCCAGATGGTAGCTGCACCTGCATTAAAGCCATATTGGTGGGCTTACTCCGCTCGGAGTTTGCGATGGGAGTGTACTCGCCGCAAATATTGAGGATTAGCCGGTACTTATCGGACTGCATAACCTTAGTCCTTAGTTTGAAGCTGGGACTCTTCACCGCGGTGGCCACATTGTACCGGTAAGACAGCTGAACTAGAGCACGTCCTTGACCTGTGGCCGTACACTTGACCTCGGTTGCATTTTCAGGAAGCCGATGGGTCTGAACTTTGAATTTATTGTCTTTGCCTACCCTCAAATGTTTTCTGTGTTTGTCCAAATACGAAAGCTGAACATCAATACCTTCGGTCGTCATTTGTGATGCGAGTTCGTACTTGGTTAGGGCCATGATACCCACAACGGTGTCCTGCGAGGAAACGAAGCCTCCGTTGCTGTTTCGCTTGCTTATCAGCCAATCGACAATCGGCTTGGCTGAATCCAACCCGTTTTGCTCAAGAAGGGCGAGCAGCACATATGAGGTGGTCTCCACATCGCTGCTCTTGCTGTTATCTGCACCGGTCCACCACTTGTGGTCACCACGCCTCTTGGCCAAACTTTCCAACTTGGTTAAAGTGCTTTGGGCACTGCGATGTTTTGCTAATGAAAGGGCCAGGGCGGCGATGGCCAGATCATAGGCGTTATTCGACCTGGTCACCTCCTCAGCCACCCAATTCACAGCCCTAGCGATCACTTTCTGATATTTATTTTTATATTTCTGCAGAGAGAGGGGTTAAAAAAAGTGGCTTAATATTAATATAAATCTCAATATAAATCAAAATAGAGCAAAAGGAATGGAAGCTCACCTCGTTTTCGAAGAAAGTCAGCAGGACAAAGGATGTAAGCGCCAACGGACTTCCATGACTGTTTTGTATAAGCCTGCCCAATTCCTTAAATATCCCATTTGCACTTTGTCGGGACGCGATGAAATCCAGTCCAGCTGCCAGTACACTGTCGTCAATGTCGATGTACTTGGCAGCCTGATGAAAGGACCTTATCACATATGCAGTGAGCCACGTGCTGCCTGCAGGATCATATTTGCCCCAAGCGCTGAAGGAGCCGTCGGAACGTTTGTACGAAAGCTCGTTTTGGTAACCAGTTTCGACATAAACCCTGGCAATATGTTCTATTTTCTTATCACTCCGATTACTTGCTTCTAAATAGCTCAACGCCAGGATGCTGGGCACAAAGTTAAACATGTTCTGCTCGCCACAGCCATAGGGCTTGCGCACCAGACCGTCGAGGTGTTCCAGCTGAGGCGCTTGGCTACTTCCACTCACTTGGATTTCCCTACAAACGGAGCCCTCCACAGCATCGTGGATTTCTTCTATGACAAGTGTCTTCTCCGGCGGCGCCAGACTTCGTCGCTTCCGCCTTTGAACGGTAATTAATACGGCTTTGTTGACGTACTTTGGGACGCCTTCGGCCTCCACTTTCAGTATTTGATGGAGTCTGTCGCCGGCATTTGGCGAGATGGCGGAGATCTTTAGGGTGGTCAGACCTACTTTCCTCGGGCGGATCATGAAGGAGATGCTTCGTCCGGTACTGGCGGGTATCCATAATTTTTTTTCCCTTTCCACTCTCTTCTTCTTTTGGGACACGTTAGCGCTGGTGGTCTCAATGAATTCGTACTCACCCTCAGAGTTATCCATTGATACTCTCGCCTCCACATCCATTCCCAAGTAGTTGAAGACGACCACAGGAATGGCGATCACTTCGCCGTGCTTCACCGAGTACGGCAAGTTGGTGGTCACAAAGAACGGTTGGAATACACGAATTCTGTGAGGATTCCTGGTTACGGCAAGGCCGGTTTGGTAGTTGAGGGAGAAGCCGGTGATAACCCAGGAGGTCATCGTATCGGGAACTGTCGTGTTGATGGAGGTTTCGCCGCTGGCTCCCACGCTGTAAGCTAAAATGTATTTTGTTGCTTTCGAAGCATAATATAAACTTACCTCCTTATGTTTGAAAACAGCCAGGTTTCGGGGAAGAGCTTGCGAACTGGTGGAAGTGAAGCTTGTGCTTTGCTTGAACTGACAGTTGGAACAGGAGCTGAGTTCCTTACTGGAATTATAAGATGTCATTGGAAAAGAGGGAGAATTTAAGCAATTGTGTGATTGGCTTACCTGATTCAACTTTTTGAAACACCGTTCGACTTATAGGAGCACCAGTGCAATTGTTTTGGTCTATATTATATTATATTATATTATATTATATAAATTATATGTTCGCTTTAATGACTTACCATCATTGGTATAACAGCCACCTAAAGGGTTAATCCAGTTTAGCATTAGCAGCCAGAAGCGTACAAATAGAACTTACCCGAGCTTTTGGGGATAAAAATATTCGCGTTTGTTAGGGTCACCAAGTCGGTGGAGTCCGTGGCCAGATTGTTCAATATTTGTTCACGGTTTAGGTCGTTTCCTGACCTTAAAAGCAGCACACTCTGGTCCACTCCAAGGAGACCCACAAAGGAATGGGGATTGGTTTTCACCCTTAGGCTGACTTTATCCCCGGGCCTTGCTTCCTTTTCTGTTGATATTTCAATCTGTCGGGAAGTGTATTGAAAATAAGTTTGTCAATCTTTTGGAAAAGTGGAATATAGAGTGTCTTACCGTGTTTTCAAAGTCCTTCTCGATATCGACAGTTTCTTTGGCAGACATGAAATCCCCGTTGACAATGTAATGGACAAATATCGTAGCTTGGGGCACCATTTCAAAAGTCGGTACGAACTTAAATTCGTGGCTCTTTTCTCTTTCTTCCACCTTTATATATTGACTTAGAAATATGTTACCTCGTGCTAGAATAGTCACAATAATGTAAGGAAGATAGTTATTGGACTTAATATTTATTTTAAGCTCTTTCCTTAGTTGCGGTCTGAAAGTAAAAGAAGTAACTACAATTGATCAATCTCAAAGCAAGACTAATGTTACTCACCTTTTGGTAATGACCGCAATATTGAGTGTCGCATCGAGCTTATATAAGTATCGTCCTAAATTGGCTGCAGTGTCATATGTAACCGTCACAAGACAACTTTTGCACGTTGTATCGGGTAGCATTATATGCTGGGTGGCAATGCTATTTTGAAGGAAAGCTGGGAAATTTCTAGAAGCGTGACAGCACTTAACGTTGAAGTTCACGTTCTTAGAAGAGTCAGTGACAGGAGAACCGTCCAAGTTTCTAACCACCGTCTTAAATTCATACATTACACCTGGCCTATAGTGCGTTGGCCAAAACAGATCCTCCAGCTTGTGGCGGTGTTGGTGGACGGTCACGTATGCAGTAGCGTTGTGTTTGAGGTTCGTCAGCTCCTCGGCAACAGTGGCAGTTATTTTCAAAAGACTCTTGCCGGTCGCTGGAATGGGAAACTCCACATTCACCTGTCCATCGATGGGCAGGTTTTTCTTCGCCGAGCTGCCCTCGATCGAAGCGACGACGTGGCCCTTTACGGGCTTTTTAAAGGTGTACCTGGCTCTTATCGTTGCCCTAATGTAGCCAGCACTAGCCGCGACATCCTTGGCGGTTATAACGAACACCTCAAACTTCGGCACCACATACTTGTCCACCACCAGCGTTTTCGTCTCCTTGCCATCGTCTTGCGCCGTGACGGTTAAAGTCCAGTTGCCCAGAACCGGTCTGTCGGACAGCTGGAGCTCTCCGGAATAGACACTCCTGGGTATGATATCCTTCCATTGCCTAATCAGATTATGGTCTCCATCGCGAATCTCTATCGCAATGGCCTTATCGATTACGGCTGGTCGGGTGTGTTTGTCCAGGAAAAGTACTCTAAACTGGATCTTATCGCCGGGCTTATAGGTGGCCTTGTCCGTTTGAATGTATATCCTGTTCTTGTCGGTTGCAAAGTCCAGCTTGGTGGAGTTCCGGAATTCGATGCCGCCACTACCCACAACTTCTAGCTTGTACTTGCCTTCGGTTAGTTTCGGAATGTCAAATCTAACAGTTTTCGAGGACATTGCTGAAACCTCAACATGTTTTCCCAAACTAAATGAAGGTCCTGTCAGGCTGACTGAGACATTAGTAGCTCGCGGTGCATTTTGGACGGCAACTACAACATTATAGGCACTTTTGGATCGCAGGGTCTTGGGTGCCACAACGGAGTACAGGCTGTGAAATTAGAAGAAGGAACAAAAATATATTCCGCTGGGCTCCTGCATATTTTAATTTTCAGGCAATACATGCTACTTGTACCCGTTACTCGTAGAGTAAAAGGGTATACTAGATTCGTTGAAAGGTATGTAACAGGCAGAAGAAGGCGTTTCCGACCATATAAAGTATTCTTGATCAGGATCAATAGCGTCCAACTGGCATGGCTATTTTCATTTTTGAATAAAAGTTTTAGTTTCATTTTATAATTTTTTTCATTTTCATTTTAATTATAAAATGTTGAAATTTCTTGCTTGCACTTCCACTAGCTGAGTAACGGGTAGCTGATAGTAGGGGTTCTCGAATATAGCATTTTATCTTCCTACATATTATCAATATACAATTTATGAAATTCCAAGAAAAATCCAATATTAAATTTATTAATTTTATTGAAGTGCTGATAAAGGCTCGGCGTAGATCTGCATTCCATAGTCAGAAATTTTCCATATTCGTTTGCATCTTTACAATTTATTTACTTAATCTGTAGGACCACAAAAACTTTTCAAGAAAATTGTTTTTTTTTCTAAGAAGAACTATGCTTATAGTCAAATTCCGAAGAATATATGCTTATATCTCACACAAGAGATAGTTTTTTATACCCGTTTACTTTTAGTTTTATATTTTGAATTTGATATTTATGTCGCTTTAATACAAACCCGTCAGCATTGGTTAGCAGCACACAATGCAAAATTGCCGAACTTAGTATTAACCACAGCATAGTGCAGTCTTTTTTGCATGTATTTAATTTTTCAGTTCTTAAAAGAGCCACTGAATATTTTAGGACCTGCCAGCTTGTCCGACTATAAAAAACTCAGCTTTTAATCAGAGCGGGAGACTTTATATACGCTCGAGGAAGTGGCAATGCCAATACACGGAATAAGTATCGGTTTAAAGATTATTTTCTTCTATATAAATATGAAAAGAATATTTATAAATATGACTGAAAGTTTGTTTTGACTTGTAGATAAAAGAGTGGACGTGTGATTGTACTGAAGCAATCTTGCTTAGTGTAGTTATGACCAGAATCGTAATTCTTATGCCCAATTATCTAGCTAGCTCACAATATGTAGACAGGTATACCGACGTACCCAAGATCGGCTTGGCTAGTAATTCCGATCAGGAATATATATTCTCTACATCATCGGAAAATCTCATTTCTACTTGTTAAGCGCATTTTTAGCAATACTATATTGTTGTGGGTGTTCTAAATCCTTTGCCATAACCATATGTGCCAACGCACCAGACCCCCACAGATAAGCGCCCCAATGGCATTTAAAATTTTTTATTTTTCTCCTGCTCCCAGTTACAACGGAATGGGGTCCACAAATGTTTATACATTAGCAACATTTGTGCAAATGCTTGGGCGTCGTCACAGGTGCTGATTATATTGAAAATTATTTGGGAAACATTGCAGCATTCAGACTCCCGTGGAGCTGGAATGCTCAGTGGGCTGAAATGGTATGAAGTGGGCTAAAAGGGCGGTTTCCGTCGGCTGGGCACTGCATGTGGGCTATAAAAATTGATTGCATACTTTGTGGCGCACTAAGTGCGCTATGACTATTTGCGGATGTATGCGTGACTGAATACCCATATCCCCAAAGCATATATTTAAAAGTTTTTTTTAAACAATTTGAAGAATGTGTGATTTGAAATACTTCATGAACATACTTTGCTAATATATTTAGTTGCAATTTCAAAGTTTGCCCTTCAGTTCGGGCACTAGTAAAATCATAGATACTCAGCACTTAACATATTTAATTATTTTTGTTTAAAGCACCCCTGCTTGCTGTACTTGACAATAATTTGAAAGCTGATGATGTGCACACAATAAAGTGTCATATATCGACACACATCAGCGCACCGGGAGACCGACATCATGACTGCCGATGTGAGAGCTATGGAGACAGGACAGCTTTGGCAGCTTCGAAAAATAATATAAAAGTCCACAGGTGAGTCGTGCCAAGAAGCAATGTGTGAGAAAAGGTATGGAAAAATGTACAAAAATTGATTGAGCGCATGATGCGAATGAGTTGATCTGAAAGATGAAGTGGCGCTAAAAAAATAAGGTGATTTGGAATGCTGCGGAGCACGGATGTCGCAGTGCCTTTTCCCCCTTTATTACACAACTTTTTATGTTAAATATATTTGCTTGACTTATTTATTGTTTTTCGCTCTTAGCTTCGGCTGAAGCTGAAATTTGATCAAAGTTCGAAATTCAATTTCTAAATTCAATTTCAACATCTGTTTTGTACTTTGCATACCTAAATTAGTTTTTAAAGCCATTAACTCTGATTTTTACTTGTCATTGAGAGTATCGACCATGCTTTTCATTTGTTATCAATAACCATATATACAGGAATGCGTTACACTTACACTTGGCTTATTCACTTGAGTTCCTTTTAATTGTTGTTGCAACACAAGACACCTGTTATATTTATATAAAACAACCACCACACTACTAACTACCACTCGCGATTTTATAAAGATGCACATGCATTTTTTTGGGCCTCCTGCGACCACCATGGAAGAGGACGAGGATTCTTGTACGGAGTCTTAGTAAGTTGAGGCTGTTGCTAATTTCGTATTTAAAGGCAGACCTTAACCACAAGCTTCGACGACGAGAATAAGCTAAGTTGCATCTGGTCCTTGACGGCGAAGTTATCCCGGTAACATACTGCAAATAGAGCAAAGAAATATGGCTATAAGACTTCTTCCCCCAAAAGCACCAATGTGCAGCTGATCGACTACAAGATGTTCATTGCTGCTCGTCGCATCCAATCCTTCTGGCGTGGCTACCGCGTCCGAGAGCTGCTCCTCCAGCGCTGGCAGGCTGCCATTGTCATTCAGCGCTGGTGGCGCGGCTTTCGCACGCGGCGCATCCTGTGTGGAAAAGTGGGGCGACGGTTGCAGGATACGATTCTCAAACACTTCCACCGGTCGGCAGTTCGCATTCAGGCCTTGTTTCGGGGCTGGTTGGTCAGGAAGTTCATCCACGACGTGCGCGACCTGCACCGGATGCAATCCTCTGCCGCCGAGGATCTGATCAATTGCGTAGTCCATGAGCTGCATGACATCAGAAAAGCCGACTGCTTGCCCGGAGTCGTCTCCCTTCGAAATTCAGCGTAAGTTGCAAGCATTCACGAGCTTGAAACACTTTCTTAAGAATCATTTTATCTTCAGCTGCCTTTCAAAAGTCGAAAAACTATTGACCACAATGATATTCCGCTTCCACAACGATCGGGTGGTCTTGATGGTAGCCAACAGGATGTCCCGAAAGGAAGGATATCGCAGGCACTTCAGGGACGGCAGATTCGTTACCCAGATTCCCTATTCCGGACCCAACTTCAACGAACTATGTTATGTTAGAGAGAAGGAGCATATGGTACTTAAAGAGGTCCCCAAAGATCTGCGTTACGCCGAAATAGTCAACGAATACGAGGAGTCCCAACTGCACGAGCACTTAAGAGCAACCCATCTGCGATTTGATTCCCGTGAGTGTTTACATTCATCATTAATTCAAAAATTCTTTATAATTTTTATATTTTTCATAGGCAATGTGCAAAGGCAGATAGATCACATTAACATGCAAGAACTGCATTTAAAGGGCAAGTTCTGCGCAGACGTCATAGATCGTATGCGTAAATGGACCATATGGAGTAGCACGAGTGCAAGCCATAAGCAAAATATTTATGAAAATCGAAAAAACATACAAGTATTTTTTAGGAGAGTCGAGCATCTGATGAGTGATTTCTGCGTGAGCAAAGCCGAAGATCTCTACAATGTCTCGAGCTTAAGCTCCGCCACATAAATTTCGAGTTAAGCACTTACACATTACACAAAATTCGTAAATATGTAATTAAACCTTTTATTGAAACTTAAAACAGGCAATCGAAGCAATGGCAGAGCTTGGGCAAGTTGTGTATGTGATTTAGTTCCCACCCCAGAACCTGAAGAATTGGCAACATCTGCCTTTGACTGTTTACTAATTAGCACCCATTTATTCACCTTTGCTTTCTTTAATTTTGTTCTACACTCACCTTCTGCTTACCCCGTCCGTATTCAGCAGCCGCATTTTTCATGCGAACAATTTTCCTTTGTTTTCAGCAGGCATTTAATTTATTTTACTCTTGGCCGGGCCAAGAAAGAGCCAGCATACGGGAGCAATTTGTGAGTTGCGTGGTAAATCTTGGCATGCTTCCCTATAAATATTTGACATGGCTACAATAGCCTTCCCCCCACCCCCTGAAAACGTGGCAGCCACACACGATCCTGCCCAGGCCCAGATACCATACCATGCCATACCATACCATACCGTAGTATAGAACCTGTGGCATACGTGCAGGAGCTTTATCCGCATACTTGACGCGGGACGGGTCCTTAAACGTGACTGCCGTCTGCAGTTGGAGGATTCGCGGTGGGCATGGGAATGGGCGGGTGGTCTGGCAAATTAGATTTGCCTATAATTAATATGCACGATATGTGGCGTTAACTTGTGTGAAAATTACTCGGCACCCTGACGTGACAGAGCGCGGTTCGTGTGGAACGCGAGAACAAAGACCATGGACTCCAATTACAATCTATCTACCCGGCACTGGAGGTCCTGGCGCAGTTCGATTGCTATTTTCGCCCGTAAGTATTTCCTAATTAGTTGTTGATGACAAAGAGACGTGAGTGATTTCTGAGGAGGGGGCCTTTGCAAGGTGCCGCACAAAATCGAGCTGGGCCACTTAAATCAATTGTCAAATTGGGTTTGGTTAATATTCTGATGTCGCGCGACAAAGTGATTTCATTGAAATATTGCGTGGAATTATTTTAAGCGTCTTATTAATATTGGGTGTTTAATTGTATGTCATTAAAGTACTAAATTTGGCACAAAATACCGATATTTTTTAAAAGCCTTGTTTTTTCAGTCCAATGAATTGACAGACTTTGGGGATTTGTCAAAAGGTCCTGGATCGACGAATTTCCAGTTGCTGTCCCCGCTTGTTTTCCTCCATTCCGCCCAATTGAGGCGTTGCCGTAGACAAACTTTTAAGTTTTTAATTAATTTGTTTTTGCTGCGGTCCAGGCCGCCGCAACGCTGCTTTTTTAAACTTAACCTCCTCCGTCTGCTCATTTCTCCTTCGGTAGCTGGAGGAAAAAAAGGTTAAGTGGTTTCATTTGGCAAACATTTACCCAGACCCGAAACGGAAAGTTCCCCAGCCGCTCATCAATGCCCAAGTGTGTAAGACTTTTAATGGGCTTTTGTGTGGAAAATAAATTGATGCGGTGCACCTGTAAAGCGCTTCAACAATGAGCCTCCGCCTGAGCCAGACGAATGTCTGTCCGTGTGATGCGGCCAACCGCATCCCAGCCAGAAAGTTTGGAAGGGAAGGCAGTAGGGATTCAGTTAATTTTGAGTAAATTGTTAGAGAATTGTTTGCTGCTGCTGATGCCGCTCCTGGGCAACGGCCTTATGTGGGTGACTTGTGGCCTTGCCTCGAAATTATGGCATTTAATTACCAAGTGTTCTGAGATACTCACGGGTGGTACTGAAGGTGGTGATACTGAAGCTGAAGATGACTGAAATTCTCGAGTTAAAGCTATTGTTGCAAAAGCTCTGTAACTTTATTCCAAGGAACTTGTAGTCTACCCATAGCTGGTGAAGTATCTTAGGATGTACGCCATTGCCGTCGGGTTCTCCTGCTGCACCAGATGTCCCGCCCGAAAGACCCAGAACATACTAAGTCGTCCGCCGTGCTTTTCGTACCCCTCCAGCATCCCGTCGATCCGAATGGCGGTTCGGTTCGCCTTGGCATACTCCGAGCGGAGGCGCCACTTCAGTTGGCGGATCCAGCTAACGGTGCCGGGCGTTGCACAGAGTAGGTCCAGAATGCCCGAGTAAATGCCCACCTGTATGGGCGTCTCCTCGAGCAGCTTGGCCACTGAAAGGGAAACGTTAAGGGATCAAATCTCATTTTGCCCATGTAAGATAATGTACAAAAAATGTTCATTACATTTTAGAAATGAAATGTGAACTTAAAAATATTTGTTTTCAGCGCAAGCATAAAGTGAATTACCAATATGATTCGCAGGCTTAAAAATATCCTGACTGAGTCGCTCGAATACTGTAGAGTTCTGCTCCATCCACACGGGCATATCGGCCAGTCCCAGTGCCTTAGTCACGTTGGACCGCATGAAGTGGCTCATTTGCGGGTCCTCGCCGTACCGGTAGACCTCGTCCACGTGAACGCGCCGCTGGGTGTTGTAGATGAAGACGCCGCCCGCACTGGCGGAGATCTCATCCTGAACCTCGCTCGCCTTCATCAAGGCGCGTAACCACTTTCCGCCGTAAACAAGTGCTGCCAACTCGCCGGCCAAACGCGATATTCGACGATAGCCGTCATCATCCACAATGCCCGATTGGAGCAGAAAGGGGGCATAGGACAGAATGCTGTCCAGTGGGGAGGTCCAGGGATTGCCCACTACCACGGACTTCAGTTCGCATTTCAATCCGCCCCGCTTCCTTGCCAAGTGCAGTTCCAACGCGAATTCGGGAGCCATTTTTCCGCCATAGCTCTCGGAGAATATGTGCAGGGGCACCTTTCGAAAATCGGGATACTTCTGGAGAAACTGCTTCATCAACTGCACGAGATCGAGGGCTATCTGCCTATTGGTTCTGGCATACAGGCCGTGTTGCTCCACGTATGCGAATCCCGTGCCCACCGGACTGTCCACAAAAAGAACATTCACGTGGTCCACCCAACTGCTTTCCCGCTTCCTGCCCTCGATGTCGATGGGCCCTAACTGCTCGAAGACCCCGCTGCCGGTGGAGGCCACTCCGGGCCCCCCTTGCAGCCAGATTACCAGCGGCCTCTCAGTGAAGTCGGTCACATTGGCCGTGGTGTATAGAAGCCAGTAGAAGAGGTGAGCGCCCTCCCGCACTTTCACATAGTCCCATTCCTGCACTCCAGGTCCCAGACCAACGCGTCCTGCAACGATATAACCAACTCTTCTGGAGTACTCTTCTAAGAAATCGAGATTTACAGGGAATATGTCCATTTCGTAGATTATGGGAAACCACAACAATGCAACCTATTTTGCACGCCTATAATGTTGCACATACGAGTAAGTATTTTCACTTGGGTAATGAGTATTGGGGTACAATGTACACACCTTGCGCGCAGATCAGTGCCAAAAGAAAACACAGGGCACACGCCCATGTCTGATTTTTATTCCCATTGAGGTGCATGATCGCGATGATCACGAGTCAATGGAAAGGAAAGTAGAACTAAACTGCCTGCTCGGCGGGAAATGCGCGCTGATTTTGAGCTGTTTGCTTACTTTACTAGGAAATATGTACATTCTTCCAATAAACACTACAAATGGCTGTGATCACCGAAGTGGAAACCACCCTTTCTTTTCTAATTTAGGACTGTAAAGCGAGTATATGTTTGGATTCTAGAAATTCGCCCAAATTAAATCTCTGAACAGTTGTAAAACATTTGAAGAAATTCTGTGAGAGTGTGCTAAAGGTTTGTACCATATGAACTTGGTGGAAGTGCCTTGGTAGACCTCTAAACAAAATCGAACTTATATACGCTGCTTAGAGTAAACACTGACCCCCGCCGACAGACCCATCCACTATAAATACTAGCTCTGCACTTAAGGCTAAGACGTCAGCATAGAATACCGAAAGTGGGCATCTGGCATACGACGTCTGTATGGTAGCAATGTTTTATTCAATGTGTCTAATAATTTTGATAATAATAAAATCAATTATTTGGTGTAGTCGCTGTCATACTGAGTAACGGACTTGAGGACGTACTGCATGGCAACAGGATTATCTGAGGGCACCAGGTGGCCCGAGCGATTTATCCAGTACATGCCGAAGTTGCCTCCGACCTTTTCGTAACCCTGAAGAATGCCCTTGATAACGATGGCTGTGCGATTGGCCCGCAGATACTCGGACTTGTTGTTCCATGCCCAGTCCTTGATCACAGCCAAAGTGGCTGTGGTGGGCACTAGAATGTCCAGCTGGCCAGAATAAATGTTGATCTTAACGGAGGTCTCGTTCAGCAGGCGGGGTACTGAAATAAATGTTAAGGAGTACGTGAACATACTCAAAATGAGTGGCTAACACCAGTTACTCACTCGTATTAATTTCCGACTTAAGGCGATCTCCGTGCAGGCTAGCTAACACGTCCATAACCTGGGACGCAAAAATAGTGCCGTTGATCTGCAGGGCCTCACTCACATTTCTGTTCAGAAAGTCGATGAAATCACTTCCGTAGCCGTAGGTTCTGTCCTCTGCGGGATCCAGGTGGGTCTGCGTGTTGTACAGGTAGACCTCGCCAGTCAGCTCCTGCATGAGTTCATACCAGATGTGGTACTCATCAGTGGCCTTGTTGAACTCGTGTTTCTTGAGGGCACTTAAGATGCGTTCCTCCTGGGCATCGAGCAGCGTTACCCCATCCTCATCGATCAAGCCATTGACGAACATGTACTTGGAGTGCTCCCGGGAGATGTGCCGATTCGATATCCAGGGATTGCCGATGGTCACCGACTTGAGAATTCCGGGCTGCGCCAGTGCGCCGGCCTTCATGGCTGCATCCAGTCGGATGGCCAGGGCGGGGGCCATTTTACCGCCGTAACTCTCCGAGAAAATGTGGAGAGGGACATCCTTGAACTCCTTGTGCAACTTATAGAAGTGCAACATGAAGCTGATGAGGTCGTCGACGAGCTCCTCATTGTTGCTAACCAGCAGACTGGTGTTATCCGCATAGCTGAACCCCGATCCCACGGGATTGTCAATGAACAGCACGTTGACATGCTGTACCCAGTTCCCCTCCCGCGGCTCGCCATTCGTGTCCACGGGTCCTAGTTCCTGAAAGTTTCCAAGGGACGCGGAGGAGCCACCAGGTCCGCCCTGGAGCCACAGAACCAGCGGTCGATCAGTATAGCTGCTCACATTAGCAGTGGTGTAATATAGCCAGTAGAACATGTGCGCCCCTTCGCGGACGTCCACGTAGCCCCAGTCCTGCTCGCCAGGACCAAATCCTTTGCGGGCCTCGGAAATTCCGAACAGGAGACACACAATCGACAAGGCACCGCACCACATTCTCGATGGTAAGATGGGAAATCACTGGACTCTTCGCCATCGAAGTCGCGGCTATTTATCGGAGTGGAGAGCGTTTTAGGCCGCATGGAACATGACCATGAAAACTGTTAAAGTTCTCTTTGTATCCGATAAAGGTATGTTTATAAAAGTAAAATGGTTTTCTGTTCATACTGGGTGTAAGACAATCTAAAATGAACTGATAATTTACCAGTCTTATACTTATTAAATAAATAAGAAAGAACAAAGCAATATACTGAATGCAAAAGGAAGCTCAGCTAAAATTTGTCACGTCTACGATTTTGAAGATGTTTACATATTTTTCCGTTTTACGCAAAACACACTAACTGAATAGCGGGTATCTGATAGTCGAGCAACTCGGCTACAACGATCTGTTGTTTACTTATTAAATTAAGTACTATCCTCTCATTTGTTTACCATATCACGGCACGAGCATAATTTATTTAAGTTCACTTATAAACACCACTGCCTTTTATTTCTAGAATTTTTTACCCTTCTAAACAATTTATTACCTTTTTATGATTTTCATTTGCCGAAGACTGGATATTAAGTAAGACTGATTAAGTATACACTTTAAATTACATTAGCTGCCCGAAAGGTACATATTTATTTAAATGCTTTGCTAATATCCAAAGGCAATACTGGAGCAGCATTTTAATTTAGTTGTTCAAATTAAAAGACAGACCTATGCGAGGCTTTAAACTAACTTACAAATACTCTAACATAATTTAGGGCCTTTAGTTGTTTTTAAAATAGTGTAACATATTTTTGGGATGCTTTAATAAAAGATGCTTTAGTCTAAGCTTTTAAAATTCTCTGATTGCATTTGATCTACTTAATATACTGCAATTAAATGTTGACCAAATAAAAAAATATGAGTTATTACCAAAATCGCCCCCTCACCATTTACCATTATATTTCCAAGCAACTTGTCTGCATTTCATGTGCAACGTCGATGGTTTTATGTCGTAATTGTCAAAGTTAAAATTGCTTAATTTCAATTTCAACGCGTCTGAAACAATGGAAAAGTCCTGCGCCAAAAAAAGGTCGAAAGAAACCAACTGTCTGTAAGCCGGACAAGAGCAGTGGAAAATGAATCCGATTTCTGTTTTCTGTGGCTGCACCCGAAAAAGTAATTAACAAATGTTTGTTTGTCCCACGCAAGTCAAAAGCAGGACGACAAAAAAGCTTACGATGCAAGCAGCTCCTTCGTCCTCGGCCCGTTTCGACTGGTTTTGACAATGGTAAGTGGTTGGACCCGTCAGGGCCACCCACCAGCCAGGCCAAAACGAAAAGCTCCCAACCAAACGACCTGCACTACTGCAATTCTGACCCGGTTGCAGTGCAGTTTTAATGAGTGCGCCACCTGGCGGCGGCTGCTGTCATCAGGAGCCAGTTGACGCTGGGATGCGACCGCAAACGGAAATCAATTTGCCACGGGAGCAAAACCGAAATTGCCAGTTCAATGCGTTTTCGATTGTCCATTAAGCAGCTTCGGCAGCTCGCTTTTTGGCCGCTGCCAAAAGTCATTTTCAAGCAATTGGCCCGACTGGCAGAGCAATTCTGCAGATACGGATACGAAAGCCGAAAACGAGTTGGTTGGTATACCCTTGCAGAGGGTATAAACCGACGATTATACTGTATGGCTTTCAAAGAAACTGAGAAATTAATTGAAAGTAAGAACAAAGAAAGCATAGTTTCGTTGTCTTTAATCATTAAAACGTAATTTCTGATATTAAATCTTGTAACGTAAAAGTATCTTGCATTTATAAATACACTTAACACAATTTACTCACTTCTGGTGAACTTGTCACTTGGTTGTCAAAAGTTTTTTAATATCTAATTACATCAGCCTGCCGGAACTACCTTCCTGCTTTGTCTTAAGATACTGAAAACTGCGTATTCTGCGTAAATATAGTATTCGTTGGCCTGACTTATAAGAATCATAGCCAGAAGGATATAATCAAATTGCTAAATTTGTGTAATAATGATTTGAGATGACATTACCAAGCTCAAGACTTAAATCATTTTTACTTTCCATGAATTGGTGGAAATCCCAATTTTAACATGTGTCGATTTTTATGTACTTATTTCTTATTATGTAACTTAACAAATTCAGTACACTGCACTAGAGCAACACTTATACGCCAAATAATTTGCTCCTAGAGCTCCTGGCCCAGTTTTTGGCCCTATGGCAGTAGCTCAACAGGGAGCTGGGATGCAGATATGCATTCGAGTGCGAAATTGCAAGCGGGCAGTAATCTGTGGGATGAGTACCCCACTCACCCGTGTAGCGCACTGTGAAAAATGGCTGTTGCCAAAATCAGCACCACCCATTTGACGCAGGATTCCTACTCTGGCAGTCAAAGAGATCGGTTGTGTCGCGCGCATGCAAAAGTGATTTATTTTTTGCTTATCGGTGCATTCCCTTTTGTGCTCAAAATAGCACAAATCATTTATTTGGGCGCTGCTTTGAGCGGTGTCGGCAGTTTGACAAAAACAAAAAGTGCATCAGGTGAAGTGCATTCAAACGGTGCTTTCTGCCCTTCGGGCAAGTCATCTACCTCACCCCGCGCAGAACTGCACAAGAGGTAAACAAACTTTGCTTATCAGTAAAACCGAACTGTTTATGCTCTGTTCCGGACATTTGGGCCCGCAAATTATTTGCTGAATATTAAGACAATATAAAAACAATGAATGAAAACAGTTTCGATGACTCTCAGCTTATAAAGAAGCAGATTGATCATGAAAAAATGTTCTCAATAGCTGGAAAATTACCTAGTAAGATTAGAGACGAGTGCCGATCAGAAATTCAACGCATTACATGCAATAAGTCTCAAAGCAGTCCCACCACAACAACAGTGACATTTTCTAGTGCCAGTAGCAGCACCATATACACAATGGCAAATCCCACAATGAGCAGCATCTGTTCTGGTTCAAGTGTAGCAAACCAAGAATGTTCCCAATTGACCAGCCCCGACATTGCAGCAAAAAATCTAAGCGGTGCTGCCAGAAGATTACTGGATGATCAAAATCGGAAAGCAGGCAAGAGAAAAAATGCAAAGCCACTGTCCCCCATCCTTAAACCGAAAAGAGTGAGCAGTACCCAGGGCCCGCACTTGGTCCCCACAATTAACCAGAAGGCAAGCTCTAGTAACAGGTTTGCTATTCTCGACACGGACATCATTACTAATGAAGAAAACGGGGAAGACATGATGTCTGAGGATGCCGATGATGCTAGTGCCCGCATGGACGAATTTCAATCTGCAGAAAACAATACTGCCAATAAATCCCAGGAAACATCTAACGCCAACAATCAACTCAAAGATTTTAAAAAACCACCCCAAATTGTTGTTAATATTAGCAACTTAAATGACCTATTTGAGCTCATACAAGAAAAGGCAAGTCTAGATAACGTCGTAGTCAAAGCTAACCAAGGGGAAACAGTCAGAATATTTCCCAAAGACAGTGACACTTACAGAAAAATTGTTAGCTATATGGATGAAATTGGTATGCAGTTTCACACTTACCAAATGCTGACAGAAAAAGCACACAGAATTGTAGTAAGGGACTTACATCACAGCACACAAAACAAAGATATAACGGCCGATCTGAAATGTTTAGGCTATGAAGTACTTCACATTCACAACCCTAGTTCAAGGGTTAATAAAGATGAAAAACTCAATATTTTTTTCATTAACATTAAGCCCTGCCCTAATATTAATGAAATTTATCACGTGAAGACCCTTTGCCGACAGAAAATACGGATCGAAAGGATGCGAAAGTCTAGTGAAATTGCACAATGTCGACGTTGCCAGGAGTATGGCCATACAGCTAAATACTGCCGCAGACATCCAAATTGTGCCAGGTGTGGTGAAAATCACCAAACCACACAATGTACACGTCCTGTAGATGCTCTGCCCACATGCTATCACTGTTCTCACGATCACATGGCTAGTTATAAAGGTTGCCATAAGTACCAGGAGCTTCTCCGCAGATCTATGGGGCCTGCGAAGAAGGCGAATCACTTAAATAGGCAGAATCATGGGTTCAACCATAGAGATCAGCAACAGTTTCCTTCCGTGCAGATTAATCGCCGTAAGAGTACTAACCAGTCAACTGAAGATCAGCAACCAACACAACAACACCAAAATATGGTACAGCATCAACCATCTATAGGCCCTGGGGTAAATACAAAAGTATCCTATGCCACAGTAGCAAAAGAATACTCTAATACAACTCCCTCCAAGGATGGACCAGCTCAGCGACGTTTATATAACTTACAAACGCAACAGTTATCGCAGCAACAACGACTGAACACTCAGCAAAATAATTCACTTGACGTCCAAGCATTGTTACAACAGCAACAACAACAGTTCCAAGAATGGCAGCAGCAAATGCAACAACAACAACAACATCAGTTTCTTATGTGGTTGCAACAGCAGCAACAAGATCAGCAACATCACAGAAATCAAACCAATCAACGACTTGAAAAGCTCGAAAGAATGGTATTTGAAATAACCACCATGTTAAAGCAAGGAGCTGGGAATGAACATACCTACCAGCTTTCTAACAACGCTCCACACCCACAATGAATCCACTAAAGATTCTTATTTGGAATGCCAACGGCATTTCAAGAAAAGCTAAAGATATTGAGCTTTACGCGCACAATAATAGCGTGGACATTCTTCTTGTGACGGAACTTAGAATTAAAAGAGGGGATACTGTTAAGATATATGGTTATGCTTTCTATCCAGCATTTAGGCCATCGCAAAATAATAATAGCGTTGGTGGAGCAGCCGTGTTCGTTAGGACAACTCTTCGCCATTTCCCGCAAAGGGTCATAGAGACACGCAGCATACAAATGTCTACAGTAAAAGTAGCTACAGGACTGGGTGACGTGCAGTTCGGCGCCATTTACTGTCCTCCCAGTGTTAGTATCGACGAAAGACAATTTACTGACACAATACGCTCTTGCGGCCAACGGTATATGATTGGTGGCGACTGGAACGCCCGACACTGGCTTTGGGGCGACACCTACAATTCACCCCGGGGGCGTGAGCTAGCGGAAGCCATCTCTATCACTGGAGCTAAGATACTTGCAACTGGTTCGCCAACCAGGTATCCTTATGTACCCAGTCATACGCCTTCCTGCATTGACTTCGCGGTGCATCATGGTATACCAGATTCCCTAACAAGTATAACACAAAGTTGGGATCTGGACTCCGATCACTTGCCTTTGATCATCAGTATTGTGACAGATAGTACCCATGTGAATCCAAGTCCACGATTAGTCAACAAGCACACTGACCCGCTCGCTTTTAGTCAACAACTGGAGAGCATGATCCCGTTGAACATCACGCTAAATTCTGGTGAAGAAATTGAAATGGCTGTTGATCACCTTACGCAAAGTATTCACAGGGCTGCGACTGCATCTACGCCTTCTGTTCCTCGGACAGGCACCCCCTATGGAATATCCCTAACAAGAGAGGCTAGAGAGCTCCTGACACAGAAAAGGAGACTCAGAAGGCGAGCAATCCGATCTCAAGATCCCTGGGACCGCATCTTATGGAACCGTGCTGCAAAACAACTACGAAATGTGGTAAGAGACCTTCGAAGTATCTTTTTTGAGCAGAAGCTGGCTTCTATGGACTATACGGTGGATGCTGGGTATTCACTCTGGAAGTCCACCAAATCCCTCAAAAGACAACCGTTCAGACAGGTACCCATTAGATGCCCGGGAGGTGAACTTGCTAAAAACGAGGAGGAACAGGCCAATTCCTTTGCAAATCATTTGGAGACTAGGTTCACCCATTACCAATTCGCTACAATGGAGCAGAATCGAGAGACGCTTGACAGCCTAGAGATACCCCTACAAATGTCGCTACCAATTAAACCAATCAGGGTTGAGGAAATTGCCGAAGTCATTAAATCAATGCCAATAAAGAAGACTCCTGGCATCGACAATGTCTGTAATGCCACGTTAAAAGCGCTACCTCTCCGAGCCATCCTATACATGGCGAAAATATTTAATGCTATATTTAGGGTGCAGTCCTTCCCAAAGCAGTGGAAAATGGCAGCAATTCTCATGATACATAAGCCTGGGAAACCTGAAGAGGATCCGGAATCGTATCGGCCCATAAGTCTGCTGTCTTCGCTATCCAAGATATGGGAAAGGCTGATTGCCAACAGACTAGGTGACTTTATTAAGGAGCGCCGTATCCTCCCAGATCACCAGTTTGGATTTCGACAGGGACACAGCACTGTGGAGCAGGTTCACAGACTGGTTAAGCACATTATTCAGGCGTTTGACGACTTGGAATACTGCAATGCTGTATTTATTGACATGCAGCAAGCATTTGACAGAGTCTGGCATATCGGCCTACTCTGCAAAATAAAAAAGCTGCTTCCAGCACCATACTATGGAGTCCTGAAATCTTACCTGGAAGATAGGAAGTTCATGGTCAGGGTCAGAAGCACCTACTCAACCCCTTGCTACATGAGAGCTGGAGTTCCGCAGGGCAGCGTCCTCGGCCCGCTGCTCTACTCAATATTTACCGCGGATTTGCCTTGCCCAAATATGCACCATATGGAAGCTCCCAGGAAGGCCCTACTCGCCACTTACGCTGACGATATCGCACTGTTATACAGCTCCAGTTCTTGCACTGAGGCAGCACGTGGCCTCCAAGAGTATCTCAATACTTTGGCTGCATGGTGCAAAAGATGGAACTTAAAGGTAAATCCACATAAGACCATCAATCCTTGTTTCACCTTGAAGACTCTCATTAGGCGCACACCACCCATACAATTTGATGGCGTAACCCTAGAACAACCTCTGCAGGCTAAATACCTTGGGATCACCCTTGACAAACGGTTGACCTTTGGCCCACACTTAAAAGCTGCGGCACGGAGATGCGGTCAGAGAATGCAACAACTGCGATGGTTGATCAACAGAAGAAGCACCATGACACTTAGAGCCAAAAGGGCAGTATACGCCCACTGTATAGCCCCGATCTGGCTATATGGAGTGCAGATCTGGGGTATTGCTGCAAAATCGAACTATAAACGCATTGAGGTCTTGCAAAATCGTGCAATGCGTGCCATCACCAACTGCCCATACTATGTACGTAGCTCAACCCTTCATCGGGACCTTAATCTGCATACAGTGGAAGAACAGATCTCAAGGCACACAAGCAGATACAGTGATAGGCTTAAAAGACACCACAGCATGCTAGCAAGACGCCTACTCCCTGCCAGGCCTCTAAGAAGGCTTAAAAGAAAGGGCTTTGCCAAAACAATTGGACAGCTTTAAAGACCCCCTCGACGTTTGAGACTCTGTTGTTAGTCTTCCCACGATAAGTGAGAAGTTTGGTTATATTATTTATATGTTTAATTGCAATGTTATGGTACTAGTACTGCATGTACGGATTCGTCGCTTTATAATAATAAACATTTAAAAAAAAAAAAAAAAAAAAAACCCATTTGACGCTGGTTTTCATGTCATTCCGCCAATTGCGACTCCAAGTATCCATTCCAGAGCGTTGTTTTTGTCACGTGAAATACAAGTTTTCCATTTGCGGCTCGGCTTGAGAACTTGGTCCTTCGTACTCCCGTTTCAGCTGTTTTTTCCACACAAATGGAATAGGAAGGGTCTACCAAATAATATATAGTACAAAAGAAAGTATAATGTTGGGAATTTTGGCAACCACAACAAGTTATTATAATGTGGGTGAGTACAGACTAAGGATCTGAATGAAATAGGTACTTACCATCCCGAGCCTTAGAAGTGAAAAGAACAGCAACTAAGTGATCAAATAAAATCATCTTTATTTGGCTTCCATCAATACGCACACCTTCAACTTAAGATCACACTAAAGTTAAAGCTACGGCTAATCATTTTAGTTGTACAGACACAGACGAACAGAACAATGAATCTGCATAGAAACCACAATCTTAACAATAAATCGTCGAAAACCCAACGAAAGCAAACATTTAGAATCCTGCTTAGAGAGTAGATATATATATCTTGTATGCAGTATATATATATTCCTGTTGAGTATGCGAGGAAGTGCTCGATGCCTATTTACACTTTACTTAGGAATAGAGGAGTACGGGTCCTTGGAAATGCATTTGTCTTTACAGTTACGTACTTAACATAGATGTAGGTGTATGTGAATAGGTATATTCGGTATGCTGAGGACCCTTCACTGTTGATTTGCTAATCGATTCGCTAAATGTGGGTTCCGTTATTGCCGAGCCTGAGCAGGGTTTCCCATCCGTCTCAAGTCCCGCCTGAAGTCCATCTCTCCTGCCACTGGCCATCCTATCACCGCAGCGCCCTGCCGGAATGACGAATCTCCAACAGGTTCCGCAGCCAGTGCTCCCAGCTCTCCCAGGCGCCCAAAACCCAAAAACTTGGCCACAACAGCACAAACAGAATCGGATGCCAGGCAAATGGTCCGCAAGCCGCATCTGAAATAAAACAGAACAAAACAGATTGGCTTAGGCGGGGCTAGAGATTGAAATCCGCTTCGGAAAGGGCACTCGGTGGTGAAATTAATCTTTGAATTAATTGCTTCCAGCTTAGCGCAGAGCATTAATAAATCGCTGCCGGTCAGAGGGCCAAACACACAAGGATAATAAGGTGCTCGGTCCTTTTTCGCTAACTTTGATTTAATGCCCTACAGTTTATCACTGTAATGGCGGGCGTACAAATGTTTCCCCTGTGCATACATCTATGTTTGGCTGGCAAAAACAATCAGGGCCAGATCTGCATGCCCGCTTGGGTCAGTTGGCTCCTCATCTGTTTTCTGGCTAATTTTTACGGAGACAAAGCTCACCTATTTAGGACTGTACGCTTATCTTGTCTATTGATTATCTTGAAGGAGAAACAGAGATCCCAAATGTGTGTTTTTATTTTAACTCACATGTTTCATAATATTACTTGTATATTAGAAAAGTACTTACTTGAATGGATTAAGAACAGCTCGTTATGCTCATCTACATCCCCCGGCTGATCGAATGGATACATATTCATATCAGGGGATCTGCCGGAGGCCAGAAATCTGGGACGATCTTCCTCGATTAGTTTCTCGCTTTCCTGCGCGTAGATTTCGTGTATTCTTGCCGAGCATTTCAACTGTATAATGAAGGAATCGATCGTTTTGTAGGTTCCACAGATGCTGAGGTATGCCAACTCACCTTTAAGCGACTCTTGATGAAGTGGTGCACCGTGACCACGAATTTGATCTCCAACACCGCCGACTCCAGATGCTCGGCCACGTGCCGCTGAATGTCGTAGACGCGGAGGTAATTGGGTGGCACCTGGATGTCGTTGATCCACCAGGTGAGGTTCGCAGCCGGCTTGGAGTAATCCGAGGAGCAGTTCCCATTCACAACGTCCCCCAGGCGGTATCTTGAATGGATGCCGGTAATTATGGGTCGTTGGGTGGGCAATTCTGGGGCGGAACACGGTGGGTTAGTGAAAGGGTGGGAAAAACACCTGCTCACTTACCAACCACCTCCATGTCGGCGGCCACGATGGAGGTATCGAAGGTGGGTGCATCCGCGGACACTTCGCAGGCAAATTTTCCCGATATCGAGGTGGGAACATTTCGCAACAGAACGTGGCTGGCATTCGATTGGGCAGTCTGTGTAGTTAATTTGAAAAGCAGTAGATGAAGTTAAATCTTTGTTGGCTGTCAATGTACGTAGATAGCGAATGAATACTCAAACCGGAACAAATATTTTTTCTACACCCATTGTTCACACATATGTAAAGTAAATATTAATCATACATTTTAAAAATATTTCCTTTAGTAAATTAATTGTGCTCAGGTAAACAGCGCTTATAAAGCAACCACCAGCTATTTGCGTTCAGCTTTTACGTAAGTGAATACATAAGATAGGCGTAACCTTCGTTGCTGTCCATCGACAATATTTAAATATCATGTGGTTTTTGTACTTTTCCCCGTTTTAATATCGAAATGTCAGCTAAAGTCAACAATGAGAGCGCAGCAAATGGGAAGTCAAAATTGTTAATTAAAACTTTTTAACATGCATAAAACCAACATGGATGCACACACGAACATCGAAAACAGGTCGATTGTTTGCAATGCCCCTGCTGCAACTGCTGCAACTGCTGCTGTCGTTAATACTATCGGCAACATCGCAGCAGCAGCATCAACAACAACATCGCAACAGCAGCAGCAGCAGCAACAAAGAAGCCCATCAGCAGCACTTTGCCTTCAGTTATTTAAAGCAATTTACATTGGCAACTTTTTGCTTTCGTTGCTTTCGTTGCTTTGCCCCTCCTTGTCTGTCTTTCAGTTTCAATAAAGCACGTCATCATCATATCACAGCACTCAGTGTTGATAACTTGGCTATTTATAGCCGTTTAAGCATTTTAATCAGGGTACGCCAACCAAAAAAGAAAACCAAACGTGGGAAAACTCGAAATTAAAAAAATACTCTCTTGCTATTTTTATTCTTTAAAGTGAGTAAAGCCTTTTTTTTTATCAAGCTGGCTCAGTAATTTTTTAGTTTTCGATCAAAAAAACACTTTGTTATCTATATTTTTATAATTTGTAAAAATTTTGCAGTTCTTGATCCAATAATCGATCGCTGACTTACAGTGGTGGAAAAAATAATAGAAACACAATGGTAATCATTGATTTTAAATTTTGTGCTCAGAACGAAAGTAATATTTTTTAATCTTTATTTTTTTAAATTTATATATAAGTATATTTCACAATAAGGAATCTGGTATATAAGGTATCTGGGTATCTGGTTCACATATTATTAAAAATTTTGCACTTATATGACAACATAACGACCCGACTTTTTGCCTCTAAATAGATAACAAAAACTCTAGCATTCTAAAATGGCCTTTAGCCACTTGGTTGTCATCTCCGCACTCACCTCGACATCGATTTCGTTCGCTTTGGTGAATATCTTCCAGGCCGGATTCTCCTTGGGCGTATAGCGGTAGAACTCCCGTCTGCCCCGATACCATTTCACCGTGTACAGCGTGTCGTTCTCGATGTCATAATTGCAGATTAAGAGCGCATTATCGCCACGCTTAACGGCGGACGGTATGCGAACGTTGACGTTCCGCAGCCCCACAGTGAGCCCTGGAAAAAGAGGACGGGAGTGCTGTAATGAGTTGTTGCCGTGGAATCGCAGTGCGCTGAACGGCGGACTGTTAGCCCGGAGAGGCTTAAATATGACAAGTTATTGTGGCTTAATTATGATCCCCCAGAGGATTACACGGGATTCCACGCGAACGACAGTAACTTAAACTGCTACCCACCAAGTAAATCATGGAAAATAAGCTCAAAAATAAACAAACTTTAAGCATTTATACAGAACTCACACTTTTCGCACCTTCACAGCTAGGAAATTATTGTTAAATCCTAAGGCGTAAGGAAAATAAACATCTGTTAAAAAAATACTGCGGAGCAATATAAATAAAACCCTATTACTCAGTTTGACACGCTATATTTTAGACTTACATTTGTTATAATAACTAACCCATAAATAGCCGGCTGACTTGTTATAATTTTTTACTACAATTTTTATTTTTTAATTAGTTTCTTGCTTGAAGTTTATACTGATTTGTTGCGCAGTGTACCGCACCTCTGCTGCGTAGAATAAAAAGTAGGTCACCGTCCATAAAACCCCCGAAAAAGGCCGAAACTGAAAAAAACCTCCATTATACGAATAGCCGGCGTGCGTGAAAGAGACAACCATAAGAGTCGCCCTCAAAAAGTTTATTATAAAATACAATTGTGCGATCAGCAGTTGGAGCGTGTGCCTCAAGCTGTTCGCCTGTTCGAAAATATAAAAAGCTTCCTAGAAAATTTAAAACCGAAAGTGAATGCTTCAGAAGGGGCTGACCCTCCGCAAGAGAGCCGTAAATCATAAAGAGGCACAGTTTTTTATATTTTTTTATTCAACAACCATCGATGACGTGCTAGTCAAGTCTGCCATATAGGAAATCGAGTTGGGGCAGGCGACCAGGTGCCCAGAGACTTTAGGTGGAGCCCCCTGTCAAAGGTTGCTGGGCAGCTCGCCGAGTTCACTGACCTCCGCTCCGGGAAAGAAGCTAAGATTTTGTATCTGTGAGCGCACTATACAGATGAGCAGATGACAGCTAGTTTATGGGTGCGTATCTGGAGGTTGGGTATCTCAAGTGGGGGTTTGTTCTCTTTGTTGGTGGCAGCCTTTGAGTCCATTATCTAAATGAATACATCACTTGCTATATTTGCAAGGGAGTTTGGATGGTAATTTGTGTAGTTAGGGGAGTGGAATGAATAAAATAAATACTTTTCTAAGGTAAATAGCTTATACTGCATAATTTGTTGCCCAAATTACTAGAATATTTATTAGTTATTTCTGTTTAGGCGGCAGAATAATATGCTCAGCATACGCAATCATCCAGGACTTGCTTGTATCTGACCTAGGATCCACCACATCTATTTATATATTGTTAGTGCGAAATGGGAAAAAAGAAACAGTAACCGGTTTCTAGGGGCCCAATGTGGGGGGGTCTGTTTAAACAATTGCTGGTCCCCAGTTGGCAACTCAGCTCGTCGTCGACTGTTCGCGGTTCGTTTCTGGTTAACCTTGAATGCTAATTGTTGTTTCACGTTGATTTTAATGGCACTGGCTGCGTACGGAGCGCGTTGTCGTTTCGTTTTGTTGTTTTCATATCAGCATAAAAATTTCATGCTGCCCCGTCTGCTTGGCAGCTGCTTTTTTCCAGCGCTGAACGCCGGATCGAAATAGTACGAAAAAACTAATCTCATCCATATTGCCGGCTTTTCTAGCCGGCCACCGTTTGTTGGCCAGCACAAATTTGCGTAAACAGAGCACTATTTGTTTTGCCGAATGGAGAGAAGGGTACCTTTTGGTCCGGGGAACTGTGAGCGAACGACCATAGAAAGACTATTTAGAAACCGTTGCTGTTCTATTTTGGCCAGGCCAACAGAAGAGGGCCAGCAACGCTGCTGCCAACTTGGCGGCGCACGTATTTAACTTAAGGAAACCTTGGGCTCGTCGTCTCGATCGAACTGGAAAACCTTGGAAAACCAGAAGCGGGCATCAGCATGAAAAAAACATAACAATAACAATATGCTATGGATCAGCAAGGAGTCCTCCAAGGGGCACGATAATGGATAAGATAGAGTAGGTAATCATAATAAATAATAATAAGTATTGAGCTTGGTGTGCCGACACGTAGCAGTAATTATGAACTATGAATAGTAAAGCAGCTTTCCTAATCTGCCCGAAATTCTAATTTGAAATTCATAGAGGTGGTGTCTTTATCGCCGAGACATCTCCCAATAGTGAACAGAAAATGCTTAGCTAAAAATTATCAAAAATAACACGGTGCAAATTACTTAATCGGCTGCAGCATCACAATTGTTCCCTAAGCTGTTCAGCTCATTGTTATCCTGGCGTACGTTTTCATTGTATCTTTAAGTACTTGCAAAGAAAGTCCATCTTGCAGATTATTTTTCCTGGTATCAAAAGCAATATTCGCAGTCTAAAAGGCCACGTTGCTTGCATCTGATTTCACGAAATCCCTCCACTCGTTTTGCCACTTGAGTGCTGCATTAAAACCAGCATTACGAGCGACCTGCTCTGGACGTCGCTTACATCAACCCCACCCAGTTCACAATCATTGTTTAAGTTTTGACACAAATAAATAAAACAAAACACAACGAAACAAGCCAAAAGGCAGCGACTGGAAAACGAGGCCACCACCAGCAAACAGCCAACTGGAACTGAAGTGCGAGCATCTTGGCATTATGTTGGCCTGTTACTCGCTGCCCCTATATTATCGATCATGATTTGAAAGCGAAAGTGAAGGCGGTGGTGGCGATGAGCGCAACAAACCCATCCACGCCGCACAGTGTCATATCGATGCTTTGATAAAGCGTTACTATGTTTCAATCTCATTTGCATTTCTCATTTCATTTCATTTGCGAAAAAATAATAAAACAGCAACACAAGAAGTACGAATATAATATAATATATAATATATAGATATAAATACGTTTGCTATGGTTGGTTATAGTTAATTAGCTGATTTAGCGTGATTTTTTAAAATGTAAATGCAGATCCAAATAAAAATGTAAATGTTCGGTCAAAATTGAAAAAAGGTAATGTCTTATATTTCAATAGACAATTCGTGGCGATCCCAAATTTAAACTTTTAATGCGCACATTGGGCGTGAATGTTTTTCTTGTTGTTTGAGTCCACTGTGCAAGGCAGATACAGATACATTCGCAGATACAAACGCAGTGTGGACTCAGATACGTTTCGTTGACTGGCGCTGTCTGCTCGCCTGGTCGTCGAGCAAAGCCGGCTATCGATTTCTACATAAAAAACGAAAGTGAATCCCATCCGGACGGCTGCGCGTTGGATGCTCTTCGCTGACCCACTTTTTTGGGCGCGTTCGCTGACCCCGGATGGCCCAAGGCTCGGCGCTTCAAGTTGAGTGGCCGCCAACGGTGTCACGTTCAGGGCCCGTCCCTGACCCACCGAGAGCCCCACCAGCACCACCAGCAGCACCACCGAAACCACTGGCAAACCGATACCACCGATCGACGATTGAAAGAAAAATCAGTCGCCTGTTGCGCCAACCAGGCGATCAGAAAACTCAGCGCGTGGCGCTCTAGAAGTGGTGCTTTCTTTTTCGGCGGGTCAACGAACCCGGGCTCCAAATTTCGGAGATCGTTGACCGCCCCGCTGGTGGTGGTGGGTGAGTGAGAGAGACGGCTGTCGGCGGTGCGAGAGAAACAGCGCGCGAGCAACAAATAAGTCCAAGAGAGAGAGGGTGAGTGGAATTGGAAAGAGAGCGGGAGGCAAGTGGCTCGTGTTCAGCGGCAGCGAAAACGCTGACACACTTACACTTACACTTTGATTCCCTCAGCAATCAGTGTTACAGTACGCCCTACATAGGGAAAAAAGTCTCACTTTCTCAACACATGAAAAATAATATTTTTGTATTTTTTTATTTAAAACAAATTTCTTTTAATGCAAGTTAAAAAAGTGGGAAGAAAATTGTAACTTTGAGTCAATAATTGGTAAATAGAACTTGCTTAGTTTGTATATTTAGGATCTGTAATATTTAATTTTGTATATTTTGTTATTCCGCGCCGTGAAAATGAGTTCCCAAGAATGGTGCTCACCATATCGAAGTTTTCTTGTAGCTATGTAGCATGGTGGCAACAGTGAACTTTGTATTATATTTACGGAGCAACAAATTGTTACGCAGACGGGCAAAATGCACGACTCATTAATTTGTAGTTTTCCATAGAAAACGGCCGAAAAAAGCAAGAACCACGCTGGAAATGTTTATAAACTTTAATGATCGCCTACCCCTCACGCGAAAAAACATTATTTTTTTGTTAAATACGAAATTATAAACTTTTCATACCAAGCGCCCAGAAACCGTTTGAAAGCCGTTTGTCGAGTGCATCTCGCACGCTCCACTCGAGTGGATAAGTGCCAAGGTTGAATTTGACTTGTGTAACAGAGCTATGGAGCGAGGGGCGGCAGGGGGGGCAGAGACCCCGCTCATGAGCTATGACACACAGCTGGTAAGAGATCGAGAATGATGTCGGCACTAGCCCTAGAATTCCCAAGTCCCGAGTCCGCCGTGCAACAGCTTCAGATACATTTCATATCCGGGGAGCCTGGGAGTCCGCTCTTCCACGCTGACCATTTATCCAAAATCCCAGGCGTTCAGTGATCTGGTGGAAGTACTTACGCTTTGGATAAATGTGATTTTTACTGTGCACTGTGCACTCGGAGAAAACAGCTACGAGGCACTTAGGTAAAAATAAGGGGAGTGAAAGGTTAGCTTTAAAGCAACGGCCTAGTATTTTTGTTCTCTTATAAGAAACAACTAAGAAATGTCATAACTCCATACCAATAATGCATGTATAAGCCTTAAATGAACTACTTATAAAGAGTATTGTATATAATTTCTCGAGCACCTTCAAGCTTTTGTACGATCATTGCCACAGTTTTTTTCAGTGCTCTTATGTTAGACAAATTAGTCTAAAGCTTTGTGAGAGTGCCAATAAGCAAATTAGCCCAGTGCCAGACCCCCATTAGTATAATAAGCAAACAAATGAATACAAATGCATATATACGTACATACGTTTCTATACACGTGTGCACACACTCGTTATCTGAACACAAACCCACATCTGTGTGCACACATATAGGAACGAGCGTAGTCGGTGGTGTGCGTGTGTGGACTCAGTCATATTGCCACTTATCGGTGGGCAGACATCGCCATGCTTTTGAACGCTGCTCGCCTATTCGAATTAGTACAAAATAATACCGTATTTCCTAGAAGCTTACGGATTCACCGTTACGCCGTAGTCTGCCAGTGGATGTGAGGGGGACGGCAGCCAGCGAGGAGTGCAACAACAAAAGGGCAATTTAGTACGCTTGCACATATGTATAACGCATACGCCCCGTTGCCTCGATCGCAAACAAGTGGCGGTCGCCCCTGGGTGTGAATGGTTTTATTTTGTTTATATCAAAATTTAACAACAATTCGGATGGAAAAGTTTAAAACATTTTAAATAGTTTGCTAATAGAACAGGCGACCAGCACATCGAAATAGCTTTCAGTTGCGCCGAAAAGCAAAAAGGCACCCGGTCGGTCAACGAATTGAATTTCACATTCTCGTCGCTGTTTCGCTTTTTTTTCAGTAAAAGTTATGCGTCATCAGTTCCGTGAACTCAGCAAAAGCTGGTATACATGTTTGTATGTGGCGTGATAAGCGTGCGATTGTGGATCGAACGTCACCAGCCGCTAACTTTGCCATTCAAGAATTGATGGTTTATTAATTATTTTCAGTGACTGTTTTTAAGAAACTGTTTCTCTGTTTAGGAATTGATGGTTGATTTAATAATTATTTTCAGTGACTAACTTACTTATGACTGTTTTTAGGCAAAGGTTTGATGTGACGTCGCTTCCAGAGGTTGTACTGTGTACAAGATAGCATGGAAACATATTTTATAGAGTAAAGTTTCTTAAGGCAAATTCATTTTGGATCCATGGCACATACGGGGAAATATTAACAAATATAGCGGGTCGGGTATCTGGTTGCCAGTCCTTGTCCGATAATGCGACTCCGACCAGGACGCTTCGCCCGACGTAACAAAAAAGTCCTCCTCCCAGGTTGTGGGGGCTAAACTCGTTGGACACATCAGCTCCGCAAAGAACATTCGTATCTGAATGCGATTCTGGTGGCAGTGCAGCGCGGCAGTCCTCGGGGGTCATGACGGCGTAGTTCCTGAACCACAGGATATCCGATTGGCTGTCTGATTGGTTGGCCGAGAAGGAACTGGGGGCGGGTTGTCCCCAGCCAATGGTCCGGCAGAAGTCCTCGATAAAAACGGACTCCTGAAGAGGCAGGCAGATGGGAGAAATATGCGTGCCAAAGAACGGTGCATCCAAGAAGATGAGGGCCAGCTGCTCGTGGATCAGGATGTCACTGACCGAACGGCTGTGGTGCGGTTTCTTCTCCACCGTTCTCAGTCGATCCCAGTCGCCAGCCTCCACAGAAATTGTATCCTGCGGCGCGTTCTCAAATAGATTCGCGGCAGTGATCACTACATCCTTTCGAATCAAAGTGGCTGCGGCTACATATATCCCATCGGCATAGATAGCCGCCATCCAGGGACTATCACCGACTTGTGTTTGGTAGGTTTTGTTGGTGGGAAAAGTCTGCTGGCCAATGGAACGCACCCCGCACGTTTTTAACCCACTCAGATTCAGGAATTTGTCCTAAGTAAATGGGTCAACACATTTGTTTTCATTTCTTTAGATCTCCAATTTTTAACAAGGATTTTGATTTTGAAAAATTTGCGAAACTTGGCGTCTTTCGTGCTTACTTTTTTTTCTGGTCCTGAAGTGGTTCGCTCTTCAAGATGTGCAGGTGCTCCGAGGCCCAGGGCGTCAACATCGTCATTTTCATTTTCTTCTTGTGGCAAAGCAAACGCACACATGGCAAAAGTTGAAATTAAAATCCACCTAAGCATTTCTGGATACAATAGGGTTCTCATGATCAGAGGCTGAGAATTTTTAGATAGCTTTTTCGAACTGTGCCAGTCGGAGGCTACCAGCAAACTGAGTTAAATTGTGCGAGTTTGGAGAAACGCACAATCAGGTTCTTACACAGCTTTTGTGCATCCGTCCACTAGATGCAATTTAATATCAACTGAACTGGGGAGGTTACTCGCTCTGTGGAAGAAAATCCATGAATTTGGTTTCACAAAATCCGAACACATACTCGAAAGTATCTCGTTTATGTGCGTCTGAAAAAATGGCGTTTGGCTATAACCAAAACCACATAATTCTATGAAATTGTGTGATTATACCCTTGCAGAGGGTTAGATGGTTTCAGTCAGCAGCTCGCAACGCACTAAAGGATTTATTCGCAAGGGTATATCAGCAGCGGCTTGCCGAAGCTCGCGAGATTTCTTGTTTTTCTTATATGCATATTAACCCAGATGAAAACCGCGTAAAACAAGTTTAAAGTTCTACTCTATTACATTGAATTGGTAGATGCAGCCAGTTTTTCTGGTTAAAATGAAGCACATTGACCGAATAAGTTGGTTGACAGTCGCTCCTGGCATCTCAACTCTGCAAAAATCACGTGTAAGCCGAACGCGCCTGCAGCTCGAAGTGGACGAAGGTGAGACACCTCCGTCAGTTGCCCTCGACCTCGTCTTCGTCCTCATCCGCCAGCCTGTCCTCGTGTCCTCGTCATCCGCATTGCTCGAGGGCTACTTTACACGGTGTCAAGCCGGTTGGTCCTGCTGCCTGTTGCACTTTTTGCACATAATCACGTCACATAAACGGACGACAGCCCAGGATATGAACAACAAGCTGCCGCTCCCTTTCATCCTGGCGACATGTGACGCTTGGCTTTAGATGCTCGCAAACAAAAAAAAATAAAATAAAAATAAAAAGAAGCGGGTAAAAATAAAAATGAAAGCAAGGGGAAACGGGGCCAGGAGTCCTGGGACCTTCCAACTTATTTCCCGTCAGCCTGCTCCTTTCTCGCCGGGCTTTTCACTTTATGTTTATGTTGTGTGTTGTGGGCTGTGACGTTGGCCACTGACACTTTGCTCCTGCCGCTGCTCTTCCTTTAGCTTTTCCGGATCCTGTCGCCTGTCTCGTACTTTTCACAAGCGGATGCGACCGGGACACCTGGACACCTGGACAAGCCGGGTGTTAAAATAACAGGCACCGAACATATTGACTTTTAAAATAAGCATTATGGCGGTAAATTTTTATGAAGCCCCTCCCTGTCACTCCTGCTCGGATCCCTGGGATCCTTGGGATCCTGCCGCTGTGTGCGCCGGACAGCTGAGTGATTTATATATATTGTTTAATATTATTACAGCTGGCAGGTGGCCATTCGAACCCGCTTTCGTCTGGGCCCCGTTCCGGCCGACGGATGTGCAAAATGCGAAAAATTGAGCACATTACAAGCTCGGACTCCGACTCCGACTCCGACTCCTTATCCGTATCTGTGTCCATGTCCATGTCCATGTCCGTGTCCAGATCCTTGTCCATGTCCACGTGTGGTCGGCAATAATTGTTAAAGTGTGCGGTTGGCTGGGACAGGATGCGGGGCGAATGATGAAGTGATGGCCTTTCGAATTGAAGCCCGGAAGCGTGGAAGTTTTCTTGCCGCCTGCCAAGCTCGAGAGGATTGCGCTCGTAAGCTTTGAGAGCAGTTAATGGTAATTGCAATTATCCAGCGAGCCTTATTGGTTAATGAACGAGCACAGGCTTAATGTCCTTGGGCTGGGCGGATGATAATGCTCCCGGCAATTGCCCATCGGCGGCTGAGTGCCTTCATCTAAGATGAATATCGAAGCGCACAGATAGCCGTCTTTAAAAGTCCCGATTAAAAGATACTCAATGTTTGCGCAGCAAAGAGATGGTGAGTTATATGGAAAAAATTATAAAATAATTCATATATTGAAAGCGTTAATCCTATAAAATAAAATGAAGGGTTTAAGCGGCAACTTGCTCCTAAAAAACTGCAGTATTGTGTTGCACGGAGCAGGGAGGAAAATCAATTAATAAATAAATAAATGCGACAACAATTATATTCCATTTTGCGATACGCCCGCGTCGCTCGGCCGCCCAATTGATTGCATTTTAAATGTGTTTGTTCAGCAGCAGGGGCACATTTTGCATTCGGCCAAAATGTATGCCGCATTTAATGCAGCATTTTTTTGCTCTCAGCTTTCCAGCAAGTGAAACTTTTTCAAACGCAAAACTGCTGTATGTTTGCGCGTGTCCTGGCAGATCATTTTGGTAATTATCGTCTGCAAAAAACGTTTCTGTGAAGAGGGCTTAACCATCAGTTCGAGTTGTGTAACCGAAATGACGGTTTAATGTTGTAAGAGGATTAATAATACGTTTCAGAAATTAAAAGTGGTAAATAAAGCGGCGGAAAATTATACAGGTTACTAGCAAAAGGACTTAAATAGCTAAATTAGGTGCATTTTGTCACTTTTAAAATACATTAAACGGTGTTCAAGCTTTCACAACGCTGATTATTAAAATTGGCCACAAACATCAGTATGACATCTTTATTTAGAGACTTGGGGACTTGTAACTGATGATTTGTTACAAATTGAGCTTGTTCTTTCTTAATTTAAGATATCCTGAATTTGACTTAAATATGGCCCACCTCCATGTCCATAATTGCCTAATTTCACTCGACTTTAAATTGGTTTCGCACATGTTGGCTCGAGTCAATAGATTTAATGACATTACACTGGCGATTTCAAAGCGAATCGAAAGCCGCACCGCCAACCAACCACAAAGTGCAATTGAGGCCTCGTGGTGGCTGCTCGGGGGTTTTGGTGGGTGGCGGTAAGTATTGTAATGTAGAAGTGGTGGGGTGAGCCATTTCAAAGGAGTAGGCTCCGCTTTTCCGCTCGGTCCTCGGCTTGAAACTCAGCTCGAAAAATGAAATTGAAGTATCAGAAGAAACACCAGCCGCTCGACCCAGTTAAACAAGCACTTCGAAAATTTGCACGTGGTGAGTAATTGCACAAACATGGGGCATTTTCACATGCATACACATATTAGGAAATGCTTTCAAGGTTAAGCGGATTGGCTGCTAATGCTCAACCTTTCACCAACAGTACTTGGCAAGGCCCTTCTATACCTCGGCACGCCGCCCCTGTGCCCCATCCACCAGTCCAGTGCGTTGGACCTACTGCACTGCCACTATCTCTGCGTCGGCGTCTGTCCCATCTGCGTCCTGAGTTGCTTTCCAGGAGGCGGGACATCATGTTCGAGTCCGTATTCTTCGTGCTGCGGCAATTCTACAACTTCGTCTGCCCCATGCAAATCTTCTACGAAATCGAGGAGGCCGAACAAGGAGGCCAGCAAGAGGAGTGGGATATTTGGAGGGAACTTTGAGACTCGACGGCATGACAACCAAACCAATTGATTAATGGCTGGCTGGGCGGAAACTGTAGGCAATAAAGAGATCTCTCGCTTTCCCGGTAACCCAACTCCGATTCGCACATAATTTTCACATAAATTGTCAAATGTTTAAAGCCTGAGCAACAGTCAAGGTAACCTAAGCCTGCGGATTAAACTTATTGCTTCTACCGTTTGGGCTTGCAGTGGTGGGGGCGATAATGGTGTCTGTTATCAGGCATCATTGAGTGTCATTGAAACGCCAGTAATTGCGTATTAAAATTATACACCCGGGACCATTTGCTTAATGAAATGAAGCCGTGTCTGAAAGCTAATTAGGTTGTCGTTTTCCTGGCATTTATGCAAAGTAATTGAAGAAGTACACAGAAGAGGAGTAGTAGTGGGTATGGGAATAGTTCTGGTAGTCCCTGATCAGGATTCTAATTTTCCACTCGAGCGAAGATCTTCGGTTGGCACATATCTGTGGCTGCATTACGAAAGGTGTCACCATCGAGCTGAATGCTTTGCAATTCAAATGTGGCCATGGTACTCACCTTTGACCCCCATTCCGTTTCCCATTTCCCAAACACCGTCTTTCAATAAGCCGGTCCGAGTTGCAGGACCGGCCGTCAATCTGCCGGCTCGCATTCAATTTGTTTAGCTTGTCGAGCCACCCACATGTCGAAAAGGCCTTGACATGTTTTCCGCCCTTTTGCCAGTCTTTTCTCGCCGCCCCAACAGTTGACACAATTTGACTTTTGGCATCCGAACGTTCGAACAACGCCCTGAACTTTTGAACTAATCTATTTGTATTTGTTTAGCTTGCTAGCGATAAAGTTACCATTGTGTTGTTGTGCAATAAAGTGTATGTCTTTTACCCTCGGGCAGGTGCAAACATATATATATATATATGTATATGTGTGTGTGGGGCAGGTCGAGTTGCCATAATGGCTTCCTTAGTGGCACAGCCCCATCAGATAGTAAGAAGTTAATTTTGGTAAGCAAACAAATATTGCTAAGTTAATCTACGCGTTTTTCGCTGTATGAAAATGATTTCAGTTAAAGTTCAAACGATAATTTAGCATATTCATTTACACTTATAAATATTATGTTTGACTTGTAGAACTAATCATTAGAGCACACCCCTAGAACCTCTCGCCTTCAGTGTTAAAGATATTCGGGGCGCGGTTGCTTTGCTAAGATCATCGCAATTGCATTAACGATAGAGATATGGCATTGCTTTGCCAATTATGGGGCCACTCGCTGCCCCGCCCTTTCCGTTTGCTGTCATTAATGCCGCAAATTAGCCCGGAAAGTGGAAGTAACCGGAGGGGAGAGCCGGGAGTCAAGGGCTGAACTAATAACTTCTACTTGCGTGAACCCGTAAACCATTTTCTGCCGGCAGTGCTTTCATTAGCGCTGCCTCAATGGCCAAGGCACACCGATTGCCAGGACTCGTCCTTGGAACCGGCTCGGACCAAACGATTATTGGGCTCTCCGCTTGCGCTAAAGTCTAAGCCTCTACTCCGCTGATTGCCAGATTTGTTAATTATGCACGTTATAATTAATGTTCGCTATCCCGCGTTGACCTGCCACCCCCATCAACGCACTATCACCCACCCCAGCAAGCCCTCTTCCACTGGCCAACTAATTGTCAATAAATTTGCCAGCCCAAAACATAATTTCCCAGCCGAGAATCCCCAGAACCGTGTTCATATCCATGCCCGGGCAGCTCCTGCTGTCATGCTGGCTGTCAGTGGCGCTTAATGCTTAAATGAAATCTAATCACGTTCTAATTTCAGTTAAGTGTGACAGCGAATCGTGTGACCCGCCCTCGGAATACCCTCTCTATATCAGCAATACCTCATCTTTGATCCCTCCCCATTCAGCCCACTTCCGTTGCTCGTCTCCTTGTATTTCATTTCCCCCATTTAAGTGGGCCACTTCCACTTCGACTGCTGTTTTATTCTTTTTTGGCAGAGTGCCAGTCGGGAAAATTTGCATTCACTGAAGGCGGTGACCTGCAGTCGGAGGAAAATGTTTGGCGGCTATAGTAAGAATTTTAAAGAGGGTGATGATATACGTTCCCTTCATTTTTAAGCTGTTTTTGATTAAATCAAATATATAAATTGTAAATTACGTGAGGCCTAAACTTACAATTTACCTGAAATTTGCATCAATTTGCTGTTTAGAGGTTTATTATCTCGTGTTTTATTCTACCCGCTAATGATCAGAGTTCCTCGACTGAAGGAAAAGTTGAATTCAATAGCGCAACTGGCGTTAAATCTCCCATGACCACATCCACCATCACTGCATGTTTCATAACTTTTCATTTGAAAACGACGCCCGAGGGGCAGGGAAACTATTTCGTTTTAAAATTAGCTAACGGTTTTCCCTTTGAAAATCTAGTTAATTAGCGCTCAACAACAAACAACTCGGGGAGAAAAAGCAACAGCGGCAGAATCATCACTATCATCGTCATCATCATCATCGTCGTTTCGCGCCAGTCGAGCAACTTTTTTGGCGCAAAATAGTTAAAAACTGGGTGAGAAACTGCCCTGAACACCGCCCACTTTACCCCGAAAAGTATGCAGTGCGAAAGTGTTCGTGAATTAAGCAATTAGCCAACTCGAAGAAAAAGGGAAATACAAGCTGGGAATTGCGAATCAGCCAACATCCCAAGTTGCCTGTATTGTTGCACAAGTCTGACGCTGACCCACTGCTAATTGACCAATATTCCCGTCTTGGCCATCATTACCATCCCGATTTTGGTTTGGACTGTGGTATTGATCCCCGTTTGGTATCCGCTTGCTGGCATTGGCATGGTAATTGCAATTGCTGGCATTCCACTTCCCCCATAGAAGGCCAGCTGTTCTGGGGACACAGCATAAATACAGCCAACAAATGGAATTTATTCCAGCCAGCCACGAATTCCAATTTTGAGCATTAGCTTCCCTTTCCTCTGGTTCGTTGACAGAAGCCATAGTGGCTTTTATGACCGGAAATGAAGATATGCTGCGATTAATTGTAGTGAGTTGTAACAATTTTTTAGAAACTTTAACTTTATTAGGTGAATTGAGCGTTTTACGCACTTTCTCAATTATTTCAAGTTGCTTGAAGTAGAGTATTGCACATTCGAATTGACGCGTCTCTCCGTCCGTCGACTGCTTTTTGGCACATTGCTTATTGATTATTTTTACTAATTTATGTGCTAATAAAATTGTCAATTTGTATGCGTGCAGCGGCAGTTCGTTTTGAAGCGGATTCCACTGCTGTGAGTGGCTGCGAATCGTTGCGAAGGATTCCGGAGAGGAGTGAGTTGCCAGGAAGGCGCAGCTGACAAAACCATTAGACTTAAGTGTCTCCTGCTGCCCAGCGGCTCGTTTTCCTGTTTCCCTTTTTGCTCAGAGCCGTCGCCGTCGCCATCGCAGTCTCATTGTCAGAGGGCAGAGTGCCAAAGGCGCTTACAAATGACGCTGCAGGACATTTCTGGTAATGATTTTCCGTCGGTGGCCAACCAGCTTTGGCTTTAGTTTCACAATTCTGCCGGCAGCAATCTCACTCACTCGCTGGCCAATCCAATCCTGTCTTTCCTGCGGTCCGGGATTTTAAACTGGCTTATTATGCCGCATTTGAGTTTAAATACGGCCGCAAGGACTTCGCCGATTGCCATGGGGCTATTGATAATCTTTCGCTCAGTATTTATGCAAATGTTCTGGAGAATTATGGCAAGCTTGGGAATTGAATATCAAACGAACAGGGTAGGGTTAAGGTGAGCTGCGCACATTGGTTATCTCTGGGGAATTTAAGTTCAAACTTAGCTTCACAGGAGCTTACTGGGAATATTAGTAAGTATTGCATGACTTCTCGGCTTAATCTAAATAAATACATGTTCAACTTCAATGGGTACAGCCGATCTGCGTTATCAGCAATACTAATTAGCTCTAAATAAATTTCTAGATATTGCCTTGAAAGTGATTCGCATTTATTGACGGATCAAGCTGCACCTCTAATATAATGTTTAATGTTTTCGAAGCTGGCTTAAGCCACCTTGCTTAGACTTAATATACTTTCCAGGCCAACAAGTCCATCACAGGAGCCCAATCTGCGTTCCAGCGCCTTTGGGCCCTGACATAAACAATATTTTCGCACATTTCCCCAAAGCACGCACTTCCACTTAGCAACCTTCTCCGGAGGACCGCTACTTTACGCCATTTGGGCCATTCGAAGGGGGCGAGAGAGGGGGATCCTTGAGCAAACCACTTGATGACGAAGACATTTTGCCAGCTAAAAAAACCGTATTTACAACATAATTTACACTCAAAGTGAACGAGTAGTGGCGGCAAGGGGAAAAAGGCAGGCTGTGATGAAGAGCGGGTGAAAAGGGTGAACCTGGAGCAGTTTGGGCCATTCAAAGTGCCACCACTCAAGTGGCACTTTGCCGTGCTTGTGCCTGACCAGCACCAGGATCCGTCTGAAAAATGGGACAATTTCATGCCCTTTAATAGCAAACTTTTAGTGGTCAATGCAATGGCTGCCGCGACAACATCATCAAGATCCGGGCATTACCAGGCTCTCGGTGAGGAAATGGCGAACTGGAATGAAAGGCCGTTCCTCACGTTAAATTATGTAAAAATATAATTCTCCTTGAAAAAGAACGAGAGAAGCATTTGGTAGCTGGTATATGGGAAAATGACGGAAAAGGTGAAAATTGTATTACACGAAGTCAAGTCGAGTTCTGCACTTGCTGGTGCTTTCCGCTTGCCGTCCTTTGATGTCGTTGCGCGAAAATTGAATAAAAATAATTTGTAATGCGTTTGCTTTGCGGCAGATGGCTGGTGAGTTTGTGGTTGAGCGCTGAATGAAATGGAAATTAAGGGAAATGTTGTAAATTAATGAGATGTTAAGGGGCGAACCAGCTCGACGTAATTAATGAAGAGCATGCGGCCCAGCAGTCCAAAATATATAGGTAACCTATTTATAAATGCCCCAAATTAGTGTTATTGTTAAGTATTTAATCTTTATTTATTTTTGCGTAAGTGCAAGTCAAGCAACGTTGAATAAAAACAAATGAAAATGCTAGCTTCATCTTAAGTCCTTATCTTAAGACTCGAAGAAGCCTTATCAAGCCTTATAAGAAATGGAATATATACTCCCAGGGGCAATACAATGGATTGGAGCCTTAATCGCAAACGACAGTCTGTTGAAGACAGGCGTGTAGAATGGATCGCCTTTCCATCGTGCTCGTGCTTCTGGGAGTTTCTCGGATCCAGGCGGCCCTTTACTGTGGTGGGTCCATGGCGAACAAGTGCGTACAGGGAAGCCGCTGCCGTGTTGGAAGCGAAACGGGAATACCAATCATTGATTATAGGGGATTTACTGACGGTAATCTGGGATGTGAAACTGGGGAAACCTGCTGCCCAGTAACAAAAATAGTAATACTCAGCGCGAGCTATCACTTGAATGTGTTTTCTTACACTCCATTGTTTTTGCAGCTGCAATTTCCTGCACAGATGGACCACCAAGCGGATTCTCTCGAATGTGGCCACGTGAACCGTCTAGGAGTGGGCTTGGCCACAACTAACGAGGAGGGCGAACTGCCATGGATGGTGGCTTTGCTGGATGCCAGAAACAGCGAGCCGATTGGCGCTGGCTCCCTTATTAGGCCGGATGTGGTGCTTACGTCCGCCTCGAAGACCTACAAAACTCCCCTCGACTACCTCATTGTGCGGGCTGGCGAATGGGACCTTAAAGGCGGCACCGAGCAGCAAGCACATCAGGATGTTCCGATCGAGAAGATCGTACGACATCCCAGATTCAATGTGGAGAATGGTGCCTATAATGCGGCCCTTCTGTTCCTCTCTAGATCGCTTAGGCTGGACCGCCACATAAATCTCATTTGCTTGCCGCAGCCGAATCGAAACCTTATCAAAAACCTTTGCATCGTCAGTGGCTGGACCCAAAAAGACTTATTGAGCAACGGATACATGAATGTGCTGAAAAAGATCGAGGTGCCATTGGTGGAAAGATCTGTGTGTCAAAGGCAACTGCAGGAAGTCGCCAAGAGAAGCGTATTTCTTGATGAAAGCATGATGTGTGCCGGAGGAGAACCTGGAAAGGACTTGTGCAGCGGCAATGGAGGTGCCGCACTTGTCTGTCCACTTCAAAGCGATCCCAATCGGTACGAGCAGGTGGGTATCGTCAACTTCGGAATCGGTTGTGGAATGCCTGTACCTGTTGTCTACACTGATGTTTCCAAAATTCATCAATGGATTGTTTATAGTATCGAAGAGAATACAGTCGACCATTCTTCCCAGTTGGGAAATGTGGGCCAATCACCAGTTCCAAATGTAGAAACTCCAATTGCAGTCCAACGCCAGGCTCAAGGATCATTTCAGAATGTCGGATTTCAAACTGGATACGATCCAAATCGAATTCAAGAAACTAAAATAATGACAGACAATACGATGTATAAGGACCAAGGAAACGGAGTCAACGGATACAATTCATTCAGAGTTCAAGGATATATTCCAAATGTAGGCCAAGGAAACAATGGCAATGGTAATGGATATTATCCAAATGGAAGTCAAAATCCAAATAGATTTCAAGGAAATTATGCATCTAACCAAGTTGGAGTCGAAGAAAATAAACCCGATATGGGTGGCAGAAAGGAATTCGGAATTTTAGGCGGTGCTACTGCGAATCCCAATAAGTATCATGTTATAACGTTTGATGATATTACTACTACAACGACCACGTCAAGTTCACCTGTACAATTTGTAATAGAAAAGGCCTAACCTAATTAAAAATTTCTATCAGTTGGCTAATAATCTAAAAATTACCTACACATAAAGCTAACAAATATATAATAATATTGTTTATTAATGTGATTAATAGCCATAGAATAGATAATATCTTATTTTTTAGTGGTAACCTCATGGGTATTTTAGTCCATCTGGGCCATCATTGTGTTGGCCTCGACCTGCTTGCATTCTGCATTACTAACGCTAATATATTGGCCAGAATACTAGCTGATATCGAGTTCGGCCATCAGCAGCTTGACACACTCATCCTATTGATTCTGTGGCCCACCCGAAATCCGGCTAATTGTGCCCGAGTTTGGCCGGAGTTTATTGCGAAGGACGCTGGCCTCAAATTGCCGCCCACCAGATACAACCAATTTCGCAGAAAACAACGCACAAAAACTGGCCCGAAATGGGGGCTTACTATAGTTACATGGCACTCAGAGGCAAACGTTGGGTGTGGAACACACAGTGGCCCTATTGCTTTTAGCCGGAGTTCGCCTCTTGTTTATTTGTTTGTTTGACTGATTTGCTGTTGTTTATTTTGATTTCCGGCTCAAATGCCGAGTGGGCAGAGGCGGATCCTTGTCGATTTCTACATTGATTGTGTTGTCGCAGCAGGAGTTCGATTTCCTCTGCGGGAGTGTGTGTGTGTACTGGTGCTTGTACAGCAGCAGATTAGTGTTGACAAACAGTCAAATGGCAAAGGTGATGCCGGCTCCTGCGACTTCATCATCAGGGCCTCCATAATCCCATAAACACCTCCCAACTGGAACCGTGGAAATCCTTTGTTTGCCCCTCCACGCAGCAAACATCAAAGGAAACCGAATCAGAATCCAGTGGGCCAGTGAAAATGGCATTCCGACTGGCTTCGATAAGTTAACTGCGCTTTTTGCCCTCCAACTTGGTCCATCGATAGTTCGCTTCATTATTATTTGCATAAAAAATGCATTAATATGAAATTTATGCATTTGTTTTGCCGCTATATTTTTTTCGTTAATATGTCACAAAGTCATAACTTCTGTTTTACTGTTTAACATCAACTGAGCTCAGCTCAGACATGGAATAACTTTTAGTGGCTCGTTAAAAAAAGCTTTACATTTCGCTTTTATGCGGAGATTTTTTACGCAATATTTTTGCGAAATTTATGTATATAATTGGAATGGGTGTGATTCATAAAAAAAACGCTTTAGGCTAATGAATCGGTATTAAAAGGCTTACGAGTTAAATAGGAACATATGAAACGGGTTGTAAACGGCTTATTAAAGAAAATATTTTTCAAAAGTAAAACAATATTACAGTAAGCCGCCAACTTAAGTGACCTTTTGAACTTCTTTGAAATTAAAATAATCTCTTGTCTGTATACACAGGCATTACTGTGCTTGCTTGAGATAAGAAGAAATACTACATTACTGAATTATATTTTCATTTTTGCCTGAGCATTAAACGCAAAAAGTCTTGGAAATTGTATTTGAATTTCTTTCCCTCCCCGGCGAGGTTAAGCATAATGAAATAAATATAATTAAATTATAATCATTCAGCTGGGAACAGAGTCCTATTTGTGTTTCTGAAGATAAAGAGCAGATAAAGCAGTCGCGTAGCACATAAAATGGTAGATTAGCAGAAGCTCGGATTGCAAAATATATGTGCATTATATATATTTATTTATGTATATATATATCGTGCAGAACCAAAGTGCTGAAAAACTCATTAAGGCTGCAAATGAAAAAGAAATTACAAACAATTATTAAAATGTCCACTTCACGCATGCATCCAAGGACACCGAAAAAATAGAAGAGAAGTGAAAATAATCGCAAACTTTGCGCTGCAAACTTTTGCAAGCAATTAAATATATTTGTCACTTCAAAATGGCTGACAAGCCAGGGACCTTTTTGAAACCGCAACAGAATCGAGTGGTGCCGGGTGGTGCCGGGTGGTGCGGATGGCGGTGATCGTGGGGCTGTCAAACACTAAACTGAACCACATCTCCGGAACAACTTCTAGCCACCTCCCGGCAAATGCAAGGAAACCTTCAACCCGAACATAAAGTTGCCTAGTAACTGGCACTCGTGACAAGTTCTGGCAAAGTTTTCTTTTCTGCCGCCATTTGTACTGCAGTTAACTGCAGTAGTGAAAATGCACAAAGTTTTAATCATGTGGAGCATTAGCAACTCATGCTAGGCTGTGTGTGTGCTCACATCAATCAAGATGTCTTGAAGTAAAATGTATCACTTTTCAGCGAGCTATTGGCTAAATCACTAATTTTCTAGGAAACAATCTGAAGAGCACACTATTACTTGGACATAATTGTTATTAACATACGGGTATATTACACATACGTGATTTCAGCTAGTGGTGTAGTAGGTTTTTAATTTAAAAAAGCCAAAAAATAATAATAATATAGAAGATACACGAGAGGCATTGGAAATACCTCAATCATAAATCACACGGAGTTCTTAGTCAAAGTTAAGACAAGTCCTGGCTACCATGATACCAAGTCCAAGCCAGATAGGAAACAAAACCGGTTTTTCGCCCATCGACCCCAACCGAATCGTCCTGGGGATGCTCAGCTCTCCGGCTGGTGAGAGTCACCAGCGGCAGGGACACTCTAGGAGCAGCCAAGTGGAATCAATTAATCTTTGCTCGCAAACATTTGCCAGTGGCCCAGCCGAAAAAGCAACACCAGCACGCTGACGTCTAAGGCGTCCAAGTCCGAAAAATACGAAATGGTGGCGCCGCCTTTCCTCGCCCCACTGCTGAGTGAAATGTTTCAAGAAAAGTGCAGCTTGCAGCTATGAAAAATGATAAATTTCACTTTGCAGCTCCCACTCCGGTCCCGGTCCTGGTTCCGTTCCTGCCTTCCCGATGCTATTTTATTATTTATCAAGCTTATTACGAAGGCAGCAGCATCCAAGGGGGGACCTTCGGGATTCTTCAGCTGCAACTGTGCAACATCCTAGCAACCCTGCCATGGGATTGCCGCTCGGTTTGATATTGAAAAATTATTGCTTTTTATGAAATAGTGCCATAAATTATTCGTAATACATTAACAATTATTTAGTAGTTGTTGCCTCTCTCGCTCGCCGGCATCTACTCAAATGTGTGATATATGGCTCGTACTTACTCAAGCGAGTCTCGACACACGAGAGGGCTGAAATTAATATTATTTCCAAATCAATTACCCAAAACGAGAAAGGAGAAAGTTTGGGAGACTTGGTAGTAGAGGCTGAAAGTACTTGGAATTATATATTAATACCATTTTAGCTCGTTCAAAATTTTATCGAGAAGAACTTCATTTCTCCTATAAAATCAAATGAATTTATTTATTCACTTATTTCAGACGCAACAAAGCTTGATTATAATAGAAATGGGGAGTATGTATGTATCTATGTAATGTAGAATTTCGAAAATAATTAATAAACATAAACCTCCAAAGTGCAACTAAATAGTATTGCTGCCTTGTTCGATATTACTTTGTCGCCAGCACCACAACTTATCCCGAAGTTGAGATACAACCTGCACTACTTCACTCTGGATCATCCTGCACACTTTGCAATAAGCCGAAGATTAATCTTGAGCCAGACTTTATGTCACATAATGCTTCCCTTTTTTGGCATATTTACATCGACAAGGGAAGCCATCAGGCGGGTAAACACCCCAGGACTCCTGCCCAGGACACTTTTATTGATTTATCACGTCTGGCGTGAGTTATAATTGGATGCCACGCGGGGCTGAGGATGTGTAGCTGGGGATCTTGAGGGACCTGTCTCCCATCAAGTGCAAAGTGGAGCCGCAGCAAGTGACGTATCCTGGCAAATTTATGGCATCCTTTACGAGTGCTGCCGCTTGTGTCTTGGCGATGGCTTCTTAAAGTCCTTCTCGGGTGGTGGTGCAAATTGTGTGATTAGCTGATGAAAGTGTAATTAAATTTCCGGGGCGGCACTTTGAGACGGGTGATTTATTTGTAAAGTGCCGCACAGGATTGCTTAAGTTTATTAATTATGCGTAATTAATTAACCGACTGGTTATGGTGTCAGATGTATTGTGTGAAATTAGCAGGGGAGCTGTCAAAAACTCTGTTTTTCGGTTTTTAAGTACTTAGTCTTGATGGCCTCTTAAAATGAAGAGTATGCACTTGTTTAATTTCAAAATATCAAACTTTAAGGGAACTGATCTAGCTTTAAAATATATTTTAAGCCCCTAGCCTCAAACCCCACATTAGAATTTAGATATTGGTTTAATTTTTCAGTTGCATATATATTTCGACATGCGTATGGCAAAACATTTGAAAAAATTGCAGTGACCGCTATGAAAATATTACACAGCGTGATGGAATATTTTAGGCTAACCGTTTTAATCATGCCGTTGGCACCTGAAGGAAAACAAACACCCATGAACTGAATTTTTGGCCAGCCAGCAATTGTTTACCATGTGTCTGCGGCAAAATAGTTATCAAAATACAAACAAATTCTGGCGAAGGCAATTAAAGAGATAGAGAGCGATGCGAGCCCTCCACCATAAAACCATCTGTGGTCCTGTGCCCACATGGAGCGCCCCACTTGTCAGGCGGCCCTTTTCGGGATCAGGAATCGAGATAGTATCCATAAGAGGGAGAACTGAATACATTACCCGTAATATTACACACATTTGCCTAGCAGGAGCAGTAGGTGCCCTCGCATCCCGCCCAGAACTCTCCAGACCCGACACATATGCTTATAATGGCATTTCGCAACTGCCACTCAACCAGCCATCCAACGGCAACTACTAGCTACCAGCCAGCCACCAACAAGGAACTACGTCCGCAGGCCAACATCCCGAGTCCTGGCTGCTGTCGAGTCGTCATTGTTGTCGCTGATGCTTTCAATTGCCGCCAAAAGAGTTCATCCGCAAGGACTTGGACTTGGACTTGGACTGGTTCCTAATTCAAATTATTTAAGTGCGATTTTTTGAATTAACCTACTAGGATTGGGACAATAAATATATTTTGAAGAACTTGCGAAGTCATACTTAATTTACCTAATGTAACTTTCGTAGAAATTTGAACGACAAA